ATTACAGAAATAATAAATAGAGAGCACTTACAAAATGAAGAACTCACACAGGCACATACATGATTTTGCATTATAAGTAAAAAAGGGATAAATGATTATGGCCCACCACAATTTGTTAGAGAAATTTTGCACTCACCTTCACCACTGCTTCTTCAGACAAAACAATTTGCCGTAATTTATCAGCTTGACTTTGTTGTTTCAGAAGATGCTTCATGAGATGTGCCGCAGCTGCTGACTTCTTCATCAGTTCGGGTTCGAGTGCTACCAAATCCGCTTTCATTTTGTCTAACACAGATTTGGTTTCAAACAATTTCTGTAATGAAACAATCTAAATTGACATAAAATTCACTTATGAAATTAAACGTAATAAATTAAGCTACAGTTCTGCACTGAGCAAATTAGGATAGTGACTGAATATTAATAAGCACAAACTTGATTAAAGTAGATTGAATACAATAATGTGTACGTTACATACCAGATATTAATTTCATAATTTGTGCTGATTTCAATTAACTTTTTTATTGCTTTTAGCGTAAGTTTACAATATAGTTCTGTAAAGTGCGGTGCTGAAATCAACCTACAAAAGACAAACCATTAATTTAAAATATATTTTTTTCCACATGCTTTCATAATCGTCACACCCCTAAATATTACCTTAAGTCCATTAGAAATCTTATCTTTCTTCTTATTAAGTTCATCTTTTTTCTTTTTTAACATGGTTTTGTATAACTTAATAAATTCCACGTAACTACTGGCCGTAGCGTAACAATGTCTCCTCATCTCTTCGTAAAAGCGAGCTGTTGCATGTGTCACACTCTAAAATAGAACAAGAAAGAATGACTTTGTACTGAACCTGTCATACAATGCTTGGTTGATGAAGTATGTGGTTTTAGTATTTTTACCACTGTTGATGAATTTTCCAAAAAGTCATCACAACTTCCCACATTCTAGTATTTTTTAAAGGGGCTAGAGAGAGATTGAACTGTTAACAACCGCAGTGTTTCAGTGTGAAATATTTCAAAAACTTCCCACATCTATAATTGGCACAACATGAACAACGGAAAACAAACATTTTCACATTAAACCGACACGTATTATAGGATATTTTCCTTCATTTATCAGCTCCATGAAGTTAGAATTTAAATAACCACTCTGAATGATGAACAGTTTGCAAAAGAAAGATTAACAGAGCAGAATTTACCATTCTAGATTTTAATTATTCGGTTTTGTCCGTCTAATCACAATTATATTTAAAATTTAAAATTTACAAATAAGATAATTAAATTATCATTTTATGTTTTGAATCATTTGCTTTGCAGACCGATGTAGAACATCAAAAGCATTCACTCCAAACAATACATTCGCTCCAATATGTGAAAATAATATGGATATGAGCATCAAAAAGCTACACAACAGAAATTGTAATTGAGTTTTAAGTTTATTGATATAATTTTACACCTGAAGATGGTTCGATGAAACCGAAACATGTTGTAAAAAATGTTCCAAATGTAAATCGATTATTCGATATGGAACATAAAATGATAATTTAATTATCTTATTTGTAAATTTTAAATTTTAAATATAATTGTGATTAGACGGACAAAACCGAATAATTAATTTAATATTTGATTCACAATATGACGCAATTATACTATCTTATTCTAGATTTTCTCTTAATTCTGTAAGGAAAAGGTTTCTAAAATATTTTAACCTGGTTATAAAACTGAAACAATCTTACGAAGTTCTGAGTAACACAAACATCAAAATTCTATATCCAGAACAATTACAACAGCTTTTTTTCTTTTCTTTTTTGTAATTTCAATTAGCTTTGAAGTGCTCCAGAAATGTAGCTACTACAATTTTCATACCTCATGCATAACAACACAGGTGTTTGCTAGATCGTTTACAAGTTCCTCATCACCCAAAGGCTGGAACACATCCCGGGCGACCGACAGTAATGCATCGTGTGGCCAATCCATAAACCAGTCAACAGCGCAGCAATTCACAATAGGAGGAAACATTCTACATCGCCTCCTGCACACGTATGTTAACATGAAATTTGTTAATTACAAGGCAGTGAACTGCACGTAAACAAAATCTGCAGTCTTATTTATTAAAAACTGCGAATGCTGATGGCTGGGTAAAAAGCAGCAGTCATAGAAAATATTACAGAACAAAGCCACCACACAGGACAAAATTATTAATAACATCTCTCATGATTCATTTATGCAACTCAGGAATGATACCATCCATTAAATTATGTATCTTAATATGTTGTGGCTTACAAAAGACTGAATACTTGAACTGGTCTTCCTGTAACATAAATATTGTAATCATCAAGATTCATAAACATACATTATAAGAAGAAATTTATTTTTCTGGAAAGAAAATATTAATACATCTTTCGAACTGAATACTTATAAGAATTGTCCGAGGTTACCTCTTCTCTCAACTTAATAGTGACCTCGTTATACGGCCTCCTTATCCTTATCGTACTGATTTACTTGTTGCTATAAAAATATTAAATAAATTATAAGACTGAAGAAAATATCTGGGAAGATATCAGGAAGGATAGAAAAAGTTAGTACTTTTGAAAGAAACATCGCACAGAAATCACATTTCTATTAGAGCCCCATTAGCAACTGCGCCAATCTACGATACCCAAAATATGCATATAAAATGTTAAATACACATTTTCTGATTTCAGTTAAAAATGTTTGTCAGTGGCAGCTTGTAAGTTTGCATCGACGTGCAACACAAGATACGCATTTACGAAGTCTGATCAAAAAAGTATCGGCGCTGAATCTGTGAAAACTAAAATGTATTTTGTGATTCTGTTACTTTTAGAAAATTTCTTAAAATTCCTGCAGTCACATTTGGTGAGCACGAGGAGGGTTCTGTCTTACCTGTGAAATACTATCTTTGATAAAGAACTGCCATACAAGTTTTGCTCGCTGCGGAGGTGCGTCGTTATGGCAATCTGTCACTCGCTGCTTACTCACATTTGTGGTTGTTTATGCACTACATCACAGAGACATCTCAACACTTGTGAACAGAAATGCTGATTAATGCTATGACCCTGAGAAACATACTAATTGTGCATAAGACCCTTCTAAAGAATGAAAGCAATCAGGACCACTTCGCTGTTGCTGTGTAATTTGTATGCTTTATTTAGTTAAAGGAAAACAGGGAATTTCAATTCTGATGATTACCACTTAGTTTCTCGGTCGCCTGTTACGATAGTTTTAAAAAGTGCTCACTGCTTTTGGCACTATCGCAAGCCACGAATAAATAGTTTTCTGTCCCATCTCTTCAGTCTTCCCACATTAAATAATGCACCTAAGGCATCAATTCAACGTTTCTATCGGCTGAAGAGTGTCCAGGATATTTATTTTTTTATTTAGTGTTCTGTCTGACGACAGGTCCATATGAACAGGATCCTTCCATCCTTTTCTCGGACTGGGACCTGTTCATATACGTTCTTGGCAGATGATCCAGAAGTGGTTTGCCATTGCCTTCTTCTGTGTGTGAATGGAGTAATTGTTGGGATGCCACGGAGGAAAACTCCGTGTTGCCTAGACCACGGCCTTGCCCAACACAAGTTATAAATTCGGGCACCGCCGGGAATCGAACCCGAGACCCCAGGATTACAAGGCCAGCGTTCTAACCGCTAGACCACCGTGATCGTCAGGATATTTATACCTCTCTAAAATGATGAAACCTCTTAAAATCTCCTGCTTGTGTCATCGCAGCATATCCAAATAATAGTTGCAATGAAGTAAGTTTCAGTCCCTTTGTCTTAGATATTTTTGCAAAATTTAAAACACATAATTTCTTGTGTGTTCATATATCATTCAACTTACACAAGACAAAAACACCGTGATTTCAAACAGTAACCAAGAACAAATGAAGCAATGGAATTGGTTATGAAGCATCAAGACGTGTCTATTGCAGCCACGTCGACGTGCAGTGTGATCTGAAATATGAGCTCAGTATCAAATATCTTTTGGTCAGACTCTGTATTTTAAAAATGGAAATTCTAACCTGAAAGCATCTCCCACAGGACTCATACAAAGGACGATATGCAATTTACATTTGACTCGGTCAAGAAAAAAAGCGAATATTCCATCTCTGTCCCTCTGAGATACACCAGCACAACTTGCAGAAGCTCTCATGCCTTGAATAACTTTCTCATATTCTTCTGCAGCTTCATACAAGTTTGGAATTTCCCCTGATAAAAGACACAATAATAAGTTAAATCTGTGATTTAAATAAGTTCATAATGTGTGCCCTTAAGCCCTGTGACTAGATGCCGACTCTAAAAATCATTTCGATAATTTTTGAAGAATTTAAACCACGTTCCCACACAATCATCAGACACAGACACGTGAATAAAAATATTGACAAGCATTCTGGTAACTTCTATTAAATAAAAATCACATATCAAAAATATTCAAAATACTTCATCAAATTCACATATATATTTTGTATATCTGTCTGTCCAAAATGGAATTTTTTCCATATATGAACCAATATTTTTAACTCATATTATATTATCCAAATTAAGACTCAGTTCTGGAGAATTAAAATACCAAGAGGATGGAGAATATGGGACTTTAAATTCACACAAAAAATGCATTTTAAGTAACTTCTGTAAACATTAAGATACTGTTATATTAAAAACCAACAAATAAATGCACTGCTAAAATACAATATTGCTTGTCTCATTTGATTTTTCAACGTTTCCTATTCCCACTAACAAAGCAGTTGTTACCAAACGTTTAAAAGAAATCTTTGGTTTGATTTTACTTGATGTAATTAATAAGAAGAAGGAACTAGTGAAGTGTTACGTATGGAGCAGAGACTTGGACACTCAGGAAGAAGGAACAGAAATACCTGGAGAGTTTTGAAATGTGGTGTTGGAGAAGATCAGGTGGACGGATCGAGTGACCAACGAAGAAGTATTGAGGAGAGTCAACGAGCAAAGAAGGAAGAAGTTTGATACAGCTAACCGACGACCTTAAACAAGGAAAGAAGATGACGTTCCAGGAATTAAAGCGAGAAGCCGAGAATAGGGACAACTGGAGAGCTCTTTTTGGGCAGAGCAATGGACCTGTCGTAAGACAGAACACTTAATAATAATAATAATTAATAATCCCCTTGTGCAAATATGAGAATAACCAATCATGTTCTATTATACAATTACAATTCCTTAGCTACATTCCGCTTAAAAAAATATGAGACAGAAGCATCAATCAATCGTGCACTACAATTCTTGGTTGTAGGACAGAAAACTCCATCAGCAAAAGATTGCCGTAATACTTACATGATTATTAATAGTAAAGGGAACTGAATAGAAAGTTTATACTTTTATGAATAATTATGAAACATTTTAAAAATTAGTCATGCAATGGATATCCAAAATTAGCAGCATTACTGTCATGCTGAGTACAAGGGATGATAACATACTATGAACAGGTTTGTCAGAAAATGCTGAGGGATTAATGCAATTAATAACCATTCACATATGATTGATTTAACACTGTTCTATTGATACTTACCTGAATTTAAGATATTACTGATGTCTTCTAGAAATTCTTCTTGTACAATTTGACCGTCAGTAAAGAGAAAGGTTGTATCTTCATTTTTAACCCCGGCATTAAAGTACAATCTTCGCATGTCATCAAGAAACGAATTGTAATCATAATTATACGTGAGTTCAAGCTGAAAACACCTGAACAAGGAATCAAAACATAATCACAATATTTCACATGATTACTGTCAACGCACGTCAAGTTTATGGACCACAATCACACAACTGGAAGGCGAAAATTTAACTATCCACCTCAGTGCATTAAAAATATGATAAACAATTTAAAATCAGACCATTTACATACAAATAAAAGTACAATTATATCAAAATATAATCTGGCTTAATCTTTCATTAATGACATACGTCAACTAAGAGGGTGAAGGATGCGCATTTAGACGACTCACTCGTGACCGCATAAATGAGCGCCGAGACGAGCAAGACTCTGTTTTCCCATTCCACAAACTCCCACCAGCAAGGCATTGCCTCGGTCCATCCTCAGAACGCGGGCTAGTCGTGCAACATGCTCTATGGTATCCATGAAGAAAATTAATTTCATTTCCTTGGATGCTGTTCTGTTGTAATCTTTCAGAGAGTCCTGAAATAACACTCAGTAATAGTGCCGTCGGAAATACCGAACACAAACAGTATGCTAGTACAACGTATAAAAAGCTTGACAGTGTGTAAGACACAACACAAGGACAATAAATAATAATAACAAATACAATGCAGTACCTGAAGAACACATTTCACTTTCTCAATGTTTTCTATCTCCTCATAAACTTTGTTTTCCACAGCTGTTCCAATTTGCATAAAGTCTCCAAATATAAGGACTGGTGGATGATGAATTATTGGGCCATCAGGCAGTGGTATTACTGCAGTAGAGAAGGTTCTCACGCATATTTCTTTCATGAGGCGATAGAAATAGCTTTTATCTTCAACATTCATCAAGCGATCATGGAATACACGCAAGCATTCATGATAGAAAAGTCTGTAATAAAAAAAATATTCTCTCTTTGAGGTAACAAAAAGTTTAGAACAGTGCTAGGTTTGGAATTAATATTAAAACACATATATAATAGTATGTACTTAGAATTCACATGATTATAGGTCTGCAGAAAATATTTTGAAAATATTTAAAATGGAAATACAACATACACGAAATGCCAAAAATACACATTACAAAAAACAATTACTAGTTTCCATTCTACATAGTCTAAGGCACCAGTTCCTCATTTTAAGGATTAGGCCATACAAGCCGCTCGTGGCTAAAACAGGTCAGGAAAAGTTATATACTGATAACTTGGATTGCGTCAATTCCATATGTACAAAAAAAATGATAAGATAATTTTAATTTTGATAGTTGGTGGCGTTTGGCAATGAAGCACAACCATAAGAGATATTTTCATTGTCATTGTTCCTAGAAACTGATATGCAGTAAAGGGAATGCCAACACAAACAAATGCTGAATATTGACACAAATAAACACTAAAGACCCACAATAATCAACTGAAAGGGCAAACTGACAATAAAATCAAACAATTACTGAATTCCACCTGCCTAAAATGTTATATTCTATTAAGTTATTCCCTTGCTATGCCTTAACACAATATACGAGGGTTGATCATTTAATTCGCGTAATGAACTAATCTTCATCTGACATTTTTTCCTTTTCAAAATGCTCTCCTTTAAAGTGTATGCGCTTCTTTCCATTGTCTTATCCATGCCTCGTAAGCTTCCTGGAACCCGTTGTTTTCGATCCTGCGACGTTTCTGTTTCTGTTCCGGGGTCAGATTGTGTGGAATCCAACGGGCACAGAACCGTGACATTCCCAGATACACTGTGACAATCTTGTGTGCACTTCCGTAGGAAATATTCATTCTCGCGGCCAGCTGTCTAAGTGTAATTCGTCTGTCTTGATCCAAGATTTCCTGTGCTCGTGAAATTTGCTCAGGTGTTGTGCAAGATGTTGGCTGACCTGGCCTTGGGTCATCTGCAACAGATTCTCGTCCTTCTTTGAATCGTTTATGCCACTTGAATATTGCACTTTTCTTCACACACTTATCACCATAAGCTTCACTCATTTCCTTAAGTGTTTCTGAAGCACTTAAACCACGCCTAATGCAGTAACGAATGACATAACGCTGCTCTTGCAGATCATCCATGGCAAAGGAAGTCAAAACGACAACTTGCACACTGACGACACACTCTTATCGCGAGCGCTAGGCACGCACTAGCCTACTGAGCTGGCACTGCGTAGGGCTATACACTAACGCGTGAGAAAGAGCTCCTATCAATTGCAGCCCGAAGATCACGCTGTAAACAAAGATACAGCACCATTCCGCGAATTAAATGATCAACCCTCGTAAATTAATAAAACTGCATGTTCCCTAAAATGTAGTGTGTAATAAACATTTAAATTAGATCAAATCTAAAACTTCTTGACGATGGTGAAGAGTCAATTGAATAAAAATTTTCTTGGATATTATCCATCGTCTAGTAATTATAAAACGTAAAACGACGTTTCGGAGATGGGACTCTATCTCCGTCTTCAGGTTCCTACACAGTTGGACCCACTAGATAGAGCTAATGGGCAGGGAATGTGGTGCGCATGGTTGGGGCAATAGGTGTGCACTGGGTATTGGTCGGAAAGCCTGAAGGGAAGACACCGCTGAGGAGACCTAGACATAGATGGGAGAATAATCTGAGGTGGGATCTATGAGAGACAGGAGTTTAAGGCGATTTGATTTTGCTGGCCCAAGATAGGGAGGTTAATTCAGTGTTGAACCTTCAGGTTCCCTAACCCATCTAGTTAGTTAATTATATGCCAGAATACAGTGAATTTAAATGGTACAGCAAAGGATTAAGCTATACTTATGTGTGAGAAATTAGTAATGAGCTCATTTCATCTTCCTTTTAAAGTTAAGCAATCTATAATGATAAAGTCAATTTGGGAGGAGATAAAAGAAATTATATGATTGTTAAAACATTTCTCTCCCCTGAAATTCTTGTTTCACAGATTAATAATGTATAAAATATGTTCACATCTATCGATATCATAATGAAATTCATACCTAAGCATATGACTTGCATCTCTGAGAGTCCCAGAATCAACTTGAAGAACTCCCTGAATCCATTTTGAAAGATCACGCAGGTTAAAGATATAATGACATTTTTTTGGTGTTGGCAACAGATCTGTAGCAATGTGGCCATACATCTCTACAGCAGCGTTCACCATTGACTCTCCAAGTTCAGCCATTGGTTTCGAGAAGTCTTTCAAGAAACCACGCATTATTGACTGTAAACAATAAATTCAATGAATAATGACACGTCGATGGATTACTTAACTGCCATTCGCATAGTTTTTTATCAAAACAAAAAGGAAATAATATGTGAGATTTTGAGGATCTCATGGTGAAGATATTAATGTTCTTCCAGGTTGCGATGCCATGTGGAATCAGTAGCACAAATAAAGCTGTTACAGCTTTTAACTAATACATACCTTAAACATATATTTGAGGGTAATTTCATCAGGCGATGGTATAGAAAGCATACCAAAATGTCGGACAAAACGAGGTGTAAGTGGATTTCTTCCCCCACCAGGTGGAGCACAAGCAGCTGTTATTATAACATCATCTATGTCCTTCCAAAAAAGCTTTTTTCGGTCATACAAGCCATGGAAATCTAAATATTGCCTAAAATAGATTATAACAAAAATAACACTACAATATTAAGATATAAATTATATAATAGTCAAATAAATTGCGTGTATCAATTTTTAAATTTGAAACGAAAGTTACTAAAATGCAATGCGAATATTAGATTCAACAAAATATGTTTAAAAGAAAGAATAACACCAAAATATGTAAAAATAAAAATACAAGGAAATAATCCTAATATACAAATAATTCAACAAAAACAATTAAGATATAAATGATATAAAAAAAATAACACTGTTTAAGAAAGTTTTGATCATACAGATGTTTTAGTGATATATATATATAAAGATTTATACTGATTATGAAAATAAAACCAATTTTTTTTGTATAAGAACAATAATAATATTATTTAACAATTTTTGATCATGCATATGTTTTAGTGATCTAAGTATGTTTTTTACACTGACTACAAAAATTAAAACAGAATGTTTCTATCACCTGCAGTTTTAAACAGATACATGAATTCAGATTATTCAGGATTTAGACTAGATTCAAATTCTGTATAAAATTACTTCATTCTCATGTTTAAGACATGTCCATACTTGTTCAATTTTGTCATACAATCTACCCACGTCCACGTCTATTGACTTTAATTTTCTAGTTATTCATTTGATATTGCTTGGTAAATTATATGCACATCTTACTTAATTTTAGTCACTTGTAAGTGTTTAATCTCTTTTATACTAAGTGTGTGCATATTGTTTCATACCAGAATGCCAAGTTAAGTGCGTCAACCATCCAACCAGTTTCTGCTGCGTGTGAGAAGTTCACTTTTCAATGTCAAAGGTGACATTTCAGCCATCTCTTATCAGAAAGGCATACAAACTTTATTTTGGTTAATAGGCAAGATGTGGGCACCCCATATATGTTGTATTAAGCGTTAAAGATTTTGATGTTGTTATGGTCGTTGACAGCATGCAGACTCATGGGAAGATACCAGCATTTTTAAGAAACACAATGAAGATTGAGACAGTATGTTTCTCTGAATTGTTGATATCTACCAGAGTCCACATGGTGTCACAACTCAGAACACCGACATCTTCATTGCTGTAAGAACTTCAAATCTTAATTTCTGATGGGATGGCAAAGTGGGTATTGGTAAAATAATTGGACAGTGAAATGAATGGAAAAAGAAGCCCTACAAATCTTATATTGATGGGCCATAGCCTATTATAAGATACTTACCTGAGTAACTCAATGGGAGACTGTGATCCATATGTGTCTGATTTTGGCATATTCACATCATCAACAAAAACAACCATTTTCTTTCCCATCGGAGGTCGAAGAAGAGTCTTCTTACGATTCTCCAATTTTACCTCTATGATTTTTTGAATTTGAGCACTGCTTGTTCGTGCTGAGAAATTTAAGGTAACTGGAATGTAATCCCCCTGATCTGAGAGGTTATTCAGAACAGCTTTTGTAATCACAGATTTACCAACACCTATAAGGAAATTTGCAAACAAGTATTAAACATTCTCTTCCAAAACTTGCATATTCATTGTTTACAACACTTCAGGTGTGATGATCTACTCTGAAATGTCTGTGTGAATGAAAATAAAAAATGTTTCTTCATCCCTTAAGTAGGTGTACTGTCACATCAAGCCATACATAAACTATTTCGTAGGCTGCAGGATATTTATTTCTTTATTTAATGTTGGTGTATCATATGAACAGGTTATTTTGTTTTGAATAAGGAATGGTTATAATCATGCTTTCCAAATGATGATAAAGTCTACATTATACAAAATAATGAGTGGGTGGAGCAGACAAGACAAACATGAGGTTTCTTGCGAGAAATCTGCAGAGGGAAAGTGTTCTAATGCAAGCAAAATCTGCTCAGTACAAGGTAATGGTATAAATCAATCTGCCTTAATAAAACCACATAACAACAAGCGAAAGTAAAGTTACTTAACTCTCCAGTTGCATTCTCAAGTTTCTATCTCATAAATGAAAAAAGTTAAATAATTCTAAAGTAGAACATTTAAAATATTACATTCAGAATGGGCATAACCACAAATTTTCAATTCTCATATATACTCATATCCCATAATTCACAATTCTCACAAAACAGTTTATTTCAGGAGGTTTTAGTCACTGACCAGATAAACACGCAGGTAACAAAAAAGGAGTTATGTATTAGCTATTATAAACAGCAACCACTTGTAATGAATTAGAGTACATTCGTTATAAATGTTAAAAATGGTCTTCACATCTTATTTTGTTAATAAAATAGTTGCAGTTCAAGTTGGAAGATTCTTGGACAACATTGATGATAGTTTTCTTCAGTTCTTGGAGAAAGTGTGAACTCTGTACACATCTTGCTTTAATGCTTCACAGTAAGCAGCAGAATTTTATTATTTAGTGTTCTGTCTGACGACAGGTCCATATGAACAGGATCCTTCCATCCTCTTCTCGGACTGGGACCTGTTCATATACGTTCTTGGCAGATGATCCAGAAGTGGTTTGCCATTGCCTTCTTCTGTGTGTGACTGGAGTAATTGTTGGGATGCCACGGAGCAAAACTCCGTGTTGCCTAGACCACGGCCTTGCCCAACACAAGTTATAAATTCGGGCACCGCCGGGAATCGAACCCAAGACCCCAGGATTACAAGGCTAGCGTTCTAACAGCTAGACCACCGTGGCGGTACAAGCAGCAGAATATAACCAAATAATGACGAAAGATCGTTTCTCATTAATTCTTTACCAAAAACACTACTCAACAGATCCACAGGTATGAGATATTTGTGTGTGCAATAGCACTGTCCTGTTGAATGTAAGCTCAGACAGTTTTGTTCTCATTCAATTTTGTAATGACGTTATAAATAATAAAACTACTGAAATGTTTAGTACTAGTCATGTTTTAAAAAAAAAATTAAGGATGGCTACTGGATTTCTTGATACTGTACACCTTCTGATTATGCAATGGTGGATCTGTCGAATCATGTGAAATGTGTTCAACCAGATATTAAGGATGCCTACTGGATTTCTTGATAATGTACACCTTCTGATTATGCAATCATGTGAAATGTGTTCAACCAGATATGGCTGATCTGGCTACTGACAACCAAATAGCGTAAAACATAGCATCCAAAATATCTTCACATGTTTATATGCATATGGCACTGTATTGTAAGGTGAATAATTATTAAAACACAAAGATTTTTCAAGAACCCTGTAGAATAAAACCTGACAGCAATTCTCTGTCTGTAAAGTGAATACAAGAGGATGGCTCTTTTACCTGTCAATCCAGTGAAAAGAACTGGGTGGTTAACCGCAAGCAGTCTCTCCGCAATGTAACCCATTCTTACAGTTTCTTTGGTTGGGACTGTAATCTCAAAGAATGGGATTTTAGGACTGTAATTAAATGTTGGAATCAGTGTCTCCCACTGGTCAAAGCTTCCAGTTTGAATGTCCACATACATACTCCACAAGTCACACGATGATGGAATACTGCGGCAGAAGTTAAAGACATGACAAACACGGATGCTAAAAGTTTTATTCATTCATAATTACGTACAAAATAAATCTAAAATTCAGAGCCATCTTAATATAAGATATAAATTAATTTAAATTCCTGTTTTCTCTGTGGTAGGATGCAGTGGGAAAACCTGCGATGGTGACTGACGTTAAATGAACATTAATGGATGATTTTAAAATTACACAGCCTTCTCTTAGTATCATCTATGGCCCATCCACTTGCACTGAAAGAAAGCTCTCATCTCGCTTCTGGTTAAATGGGACAAAGGATTCACTAACTCTCATAAAACTACAACACTGTATTTGTGACTGACTATCCCACTTAATATTTGTGAAGCAATAATCTGTTTCATGAGATCTGAGGTTTTCTTACTGAGATGAAAGTAATTATATTCTTCCGGGTTTTGGCACCACGTAGAATCTCCGGTGGATACTAACATTTCATACTGTCAACACCTTCAGAGCTGAAGATGGAGACAGTATGTTTCTCCAAAACACTGACATCTACCAACACATCTACACAGTGCCAAAAGACAGAAGGACATCATTAATAATGTATTTTGATGAACAGAAGAAAATCATTCAGGTTAACCACAACCAGACCAAAATGGTGTTTAAGGAGAATAGTTTATGAAAAACTGAGTAGTAACCACCAGACCATAATATTCAGCAGTTCACAGTTGTGTGCTAGTTTCAAAAAGTTCCAAGTTTAAAGGCATTCTTAAGAACTATTTTGTGTGCAGGGGTATCCATGTCAACATGCATATGCCATAGTGCTACTGAATTAATTTTTGGCCCTCAAGTTTTACAAGTCCGTGCGGATGTACTGTACCGTGCATCAGGATGTTCTTCAAACTGATCCCTGACAAACACTTCGAATATTTTTCGAGAACTGTCAATAATGTTGCCTCCAACTGACCACATATAAGCAAATAAGAAGGAATGGCAGAGGAAAGATTTAATACGACTAATGTCTGCCTTCGTATCAAGCGCATTAGGCAACCTCATTATACTTTCCATTAATTTACATATCATAGTTGCTTTGCTGATATCAACCTGAAACATGATACACCTTTGGTCTTGACAGGATCCAGATTAGAACTACATGAAACAAACTAAGAATGGTTAATGCCAGACTGAAAAAACTACGCTTTTAAATTACACTGGGGATGTAGCTGACTACTAGCTGCTCAATTTGGATTTATTGTTCAAATAAAATGCATATGAAAGTAAATATGCATATATCATGCAGGTTAGAGAGGGAAAAGATTTTATTTACCACAGCAGAAGCCCACCAGTACAAGCATAAAACCAAAAATTACGTGTTCGGTGAGACTTTTTAATGAATAAAACAGACTGCACGATGAAGGAAGAAAATGTTACAATGCTTATATTGCCTTGGTACCTAAACGTATGGAATAATATCTGGATATTTTTAAAATCAAATTGTAAATACGTATATGTTTCACCTGAATAGATCAAAGATATCACGAGTACTAATTCAGGTACAAGTAAATTATGTTAACGCAAATCTCTTATGAGAGGATATACCACAAATAATTATCATCATAATGAATATATACCTGATGAATTGCACAATCGCAGTTATTTTTTACGAACACCAATGCAGCTTCTAGATAAGTGTTGAAAAGATTTTCAATGTAAGAGCGCCCCTCATATGGTAAGGTTACATCAAGTTTTGACAGCCAACTCCGAACATAAGGCAACCACTTCGTTTCATTAGGATCAATATAAACCATGCCACAGCGACTGACAGTGGCTGGTGATGCTTGAACTAAATCGTGTACTTCGAATATCATGTGTACATATGGAGTAAGCTTAATACGCTCTGAATTAGCCAGACATAGCATCCTGTTATCATCCAGCACTGTATTCATATTCTCGACCCACACAGCATCAACAGGACCATCACAGATAATCCACTGACGATCGTCAGTTTGACTCTGATAATAAAAAAACAACATTAAATTAATAACATTGCATGTACATGTTGAAAATTTGTTTAAACTGGATTAGTATCTGAATAAAATAATTGTTTTATGTTTAATCATACACATAAAAATAAATCTTAAAACCTTGCATACCGTGTGGTGTATTGGAATATATAAAATATGCAGACGACGCAAACCACGGCTCACCGTAGACCAACAACGGCAATGAGACCAGTGGACATAAAAGCTAAGTTCTCGATTTAATACACCAACTCCTGTGCATCAACGTCCAGTGAGGTGTTACATAAGTATGATTTTGTAAAGTACATACCTTTTATGCTCTGTTAAAAACCATAAACTTTTTTATTTGTATTATATGAATTAATTTGTTTTGCAATCGATGATGACCTCTTGACGTCAAAACGCGTTCGGCATTAGTGTCCTTCAAAGTGTAAACAGTTTTATTTGTATGCATTTTTTATACATAAAACTAAAGTTACTTTTTGTTCAAAGCATGACTGAAATAACGCATTCATCACTATACACTTAAAACACGCTCAGTCTGTCATCTCCAAAAGTAGTCACAAATTATATAATTTCCCATTCTCACAGCAGTTATGATGTTGATACTGATCTGGATTGTGAAGCCATCCCAGTCCCAGATAAGATTTTAAACTGGGCACCTATACAATACCAGTCACAAGCTGATTGGCTCAGTCAACACATTTTGCGCAGCCTGACGTGAAACAGCTATATCCTTATTTTACATCTAGAAATGCTGGTATTAAAAATATATTAAAATTGGCCGTCAATCACAATATAAGATAATTAAAAGATTAAAATATCATTTTTCGTTCCTTATCGAGTACTCGATTTACATGTGGAACATTTACGACATGTTTCGGCTATCAATAGTGCCATCATCATGATGATGGCACTATTGATAGCCGAAACATGTCGTAAATGTTCCACATGTAAATCGAGTACTCGATAAGGAACGAAAAATGATATTTTAATCTTTTAATTATCTTATATTGTGATTGACGGCCAATTTTAATATATTTTTAATACTATTTAAATAAATCACAATATGACGCACCTACAATATCTTAGAAATGCTAGTTTAAGTTAAAACTGTTTAACTCTCTGCATTATTACTCTGTAACTTTTGTGGGAAGGTACACAAATACACCAAAGAATCTGAACAGACAACATTTAACTAAAGGGATATTACAAGACCTTGAACGTAACCTGTCCCTACCTGGACAGCTGTTTTCATCAAAATCCCAAGTAGTCCATCCTTCCATTCTTGAGTTAAAGGGTTTACCTCCCCATAAAGTTCACCTAAGGTCAGAGATTTTGGGTTTATAACATAGGTTCTTACAGGCCTATAGTACTGATTTGTTATCTTGTCATTATATAGTTTTGTTAGAGAATTCTTCAAGATCTGTGAACAATAAAGATTTCATTACACTCGTAAATTATTTTAAAATGTAGAATTTTGTGCACACAAAAGATAATACTTAGAACATATTTTATAACTGAGTATGTCACAGTTACATTCACTATGGATTTCTTTATCAAAGATTCTTCCCACACAAACTTTCAATGTTTTGGCATACATTTTTCATTCATCTGTGACATCTGTGTATTTGTTACAAGGTCACTGTTTCTTGGCATAATATTTAATATAATTTTTCCTGGTATAATAATTTATTGTCTTTCTCAGTTTCCTTTCTGGAACGCCGGAAACAAAAAGTTTAAAAAATTTTCCACGAGCAATGAATCTTGTTACTGACTGACACTAGTAATTCAGTGTTTTCAGTGACTTATATACCTGCATTTACACAATAAATTATACCTTCAAAACAGTTGTTTTTCCACCTCCAGTTGGACCAACTAACATGACTCCATGACGGACTATCATCGTCTCATGTAACTGAATTACTTTAGTAATCATACAAGGCTCCGGCTGTAAAACATTTTGTTCCATAACTGATATTACTGTTTCTTGCAGCAAACCACAGCCTTGCTCTGGTATAACAATTCCAGGGAACAAATCACTCAAAATACCCTGCAATAAGAATAAGAATAAGCCAAAAACCCAAAAGCCTTTTTTATTAGGAGTACACAATGGATTAATGAGTGATATCGTCGAAGGCCAGGTTGAAGGAAAGCGAGGACTGGGAAGAAGATTGATACAGCTAACCAACGACCTTAAACAAGGAAAGAAGATGACGTTCCAGGAATTAAAGCGAGAAGCCGAGAATAGGGACAACTGGAGAGCTCTTTTTGGGCAGAGCAATGGACCTGTCGTAAGACAGAACACTTAATAATAATAACATAACCACATTATTGTTTCTGGTCTTTACAATAGTCTGCAAATCTATCGGTAAGCAGATTTATGAGATTACACGGCAATAAATGCGAATTAGCAGCGTAAACCGCCTTGAAACTTTCAATTCAGGTCCACAGTGCAGAAACTTTTCTAATTAAAGCTGTAATTACATGCCTGTACATATTCAATGACACTACATGTCAGTGAGCATACTTCTGTTATGCCAGAATTTATCCATGGTACTTCAGAACACCATTTATGATAATTATATGCGCCATATTTTCAAGACCATCTTACATGATAGAAAAAAGATATCAGATATCCTTACTTGAAAAAGATTTGAATCTTCAGCCAAGAACTTTGGTAAGTTGCTGTCACGCAACGCTCGTATAAGGACTACATTCTCATTTAACATTAGATTATCACGTTTCAGAGAACCTGCCGCTAATAGCACACTCTTCACAGCTCTGTAAATCAGAAAAGTAACATGTATATACCTGATGTAAAATGTTCCTCTAAAATCACTAGTGACAACGCTATTAATTCATACAGAATAAACTTAGTACAAGATTAATCAAGTTTAGAATTTGTGATTTTCGGAATTTAATTCTGTAATTTTCAAATGTAAAAATAAGCATACAAGTTTATCGTCATCATACGGATAATATTTTATGAAGTTACAGTTTATCAGTAACTGTTCCATGGCAGCAGAAAGTATTTTATTTTGACAGCCATGAAGTGAACCTATGTCTCTCTTTTTCATTCTATAATCAGGCTAAGATGTCACAATAGCCTCTTTCTTTCTGTACAGCGCAATTTCAACATGCATATTGTCACTCCCTAGGCAGCATAATCATTTTTCTAGGAGATAAAGGGATGATATCAAGTGGTTAACATTAAGGACATCTCTTATAAATTAATAAATACACGTCTAACTCCTAGCGAAGATGACAAAATATTTCATAAACGTGAGAGAAAATATAATCTGTACTCAGGTTCAGTTCAACATGTTCGGCTTGTAATAGCATTTATAAGGTCTAAATATTTAAATGCCCCCGACTTCACAGTAAGACTTATTTTAAATGTCCTACAGTATCAAACAGTTAGAAAAAAGTAGTGACCTTAGGAGACCAAAAATTAACAACTTCAGATATTGAACCCTAAGTAACAAAACCAGGAGACGAGACCAAAAATGGAACCATCACTTTCTGACAATGCAATTACGACACTGAACTCTTAAAAGACTTCTACTGAAAAAAATAATATGTAATTCAGGTATTTTATAGCAAAAAGAAAATTGTTTTCATTTGAATTACCCTTGTACAGTAAGAGCCTGGAGGAAAATCAAAATAATGGCTTCCATTTTACATACAAGGCATTTGTTTGTATTTCATAATATCCAAAAATGGATACAAATACCAACCTCAAGCCAAAATCATAGTGGTCTTGCTGCGACAGATGTTCACTACATAATTTATACATCTGAGTCAACTTATTAGCCAGGAGTTTAGAAGATTCAAAGCCTTCTGAATACAATATTACTTCTGCTATCAAAGCTGAAACAAAAGAACAAAGAGAGATAACGCACAAACTAAAACCTTATCTTTGTTTCTGTGCATGGTTTTGCAGACAAAATGTTAATGGCAGAATGATAAACTGCAACCTGAACAATTCCTTGTTAAACAATCAGAATACAGCTTTATTATTTAAACATTAACAATGTTTACTGTCCTACATACTTCAGCCCTTGTAGGCCATAGCTATGGCATTCATATCTCAGTCAACATATATCAATTCTCTCTGCGAGAGGTTTATAGGTCTGGACTAAATTCAGTGATGCCTGAACTATTGCCATCATTCAAGAAATGAATTTCCCCAGCGAAAAGCAGACACAGTAAAATATTTCAATGTTTACAAATTTAATTTCAGAAATATATACACCATTTAAGAATTCTTACCATAATCAGGTATCACCATAGACACTGGTCGAAACAAAGCTTTCAAATTATCAGGAAGCTCTGTTCTCCCAGCATACCCAGGGCTCATCGTGACAAAAGTTGCACATTGCGGAATCAACTTAATCTCTCGCCCCTCAAACACAAACCTGAGTAACAACACAGATGCATAAGATTATGTCACCCGACAAACAAATCTTCTATCACTGACCTTTGAGACTGATTCCAGGTCATCACAAATTCATGAAGTCATGATAATAATGTCATAACACTTGGATAAAGATTACACAGAAATCAGAACAGATGACAAATGCAATGGAATCCTCAATTAATACATTACAATAAAATGTTCATTACCGTAACAGCTTAGCTGCTTTAGCATTTCTAATTGTTGTGAGTTGCTGAGCAATAACAGACAACACTTCAACATCAATCCTGTTGAAGTCATCGAAACAGCACCAGGATCCGGACTGTGCCAAACCAGAGAAAAAGCAGCTCATCATCTGTCAACACACAAACAAACAAATTGTAGAATGTTCATTACGTAAGATTTGAGGTTTTCACAGCGGGGAGTATGAAGATTTCTGTCTTCTGGGCTGTTGCGCTGTGTAGTCTGGTCGATGGTTACCAACGTTTCACAGGTCATACTGCCTCCGTCATCGCCCTGATGGTGGAGGCAGCATGACCTCTGAAACGTTGGCTAACATCGACCAGACTATACAGCGCAACAACCCAGAAGAGAGAAATCTTCATACTCTGATGACGGAGGCAGCATGACCTCTGAAACGTTGGCTAACATCGACCAGACTATACAGCGCAACAACCCAGAAGAGAGAAATCTTCATACTCTGATGACGGAGGCAGCATGACCTCTGAAACGTTGGCTAACATCGACCAGACTATACAGCGCAACAACCCAGAAGAGAGAAATCTTCATACTCTGATGACGGAGGCAGCATGACCTCTGAAACGTTGGCTAACATCGACCAGACTATACAGCGCAACAACCCAGAAGAGAGAAATCTTCATACTCTGATGACGGAGGCAGCATGACCTCTGAAACGTTGGCTAACATCGACCAGACTATACAGCGCAACAACCCAGAAGAGAGAAATCTTCATACTCTGATGACGGAGGCAGCATGACCTCTGAAACGTTGGCTAACATCGACCAGACTATACAGCGCAACAACCCAGAAGAGAGAAATCTTCATACTCTGATGACGGAGGCAGCATGACCTCTGAAACGTTGGCTAACATCGACCAGACTATACAGCGCAACAACCCAGAAGAGAGAAATCTTCATACTCTGATGACGGAGGCAGCATGACCTCTGAAACGTTGGCTAACATCGACCAGACTATACAGCGCAACAACCCAGAAGAGAGAAATCTTCATACTCTGATGACGGAGGCAGCATGACCTCTGAAACGTTGGCTAACATCGACCAGACTATACAGCGCAACAACCCAGAAGAGAGAAATCTTCATACTCTGATGACGGAGGCAGCATGACCTCTGAAACGTTGGCTAACATCGACCAGACTATACAGCGCAACAACCCAGAAGAGAGAAATCTTCATACTCTGATGACGGAGGCAGCATGACCTCTGAAACGTTGGCTAACATCGACCAGACTATACAGCGCAACAACCCAGAAGAGAGAAATCTTCATACTCTGATGACGGAGGCAGCATGACCTCTGAAACGTTGGCTAACATCGACCAGACTATACAGCGCAACAACCCAGAAGAGAGAAATCTTCATACTCTGATGACGGAGGCAGCATGACCTCTGAAACGTTGGCTAACATCGACCAGACTATACAGCGCAACAACCCAGAAGAGAGAAATCTTCATACTCTGATGACGGAGGCAGCATGACCTCTGAAACGTTGGCTAACATCGACCAGACTATACAGCGCAACAACCCAGAAGAGAGAAATCTTCATACTCTGATGACGGAGGCAGCATGACCTCTGAAACGTTGGCTAACATCGACCAGACTATACAGCGCAACAACCCAGAAGAGAGAAATCTTCATACTCTGATGACGGAGGCAGCATGACCTCTGAAACGTTGGCTAACATCGACCAGACTATACAGCGCAACAACCCAGAAGAGAGAAATCTTCATACTCTGATGACGGAGGCAGCATGACCTCTGAAACGTTGGCTAACATCGACCAGACTATACAGCGCAACAACCCAGAAGAGAGAAATCTTCATACTCTGATGACGGAGGCAGCATGACCTCTGAAACGTTGGCTAACATCGACCAGACTATACAGCGCAACAACCCAGAAGAGAGAAATCTTCATACTCTGATGACGGAGGCAGCATGACCTCTGAAACGTTGGCTAACATCGACCAGACTATACAGCGCAACAACCCAGAAGAGAGAAATCTTCATACTCTGATGACGGAGGCAGCATGACCTCTGAAACGTTGGCTAACATCGACCAGACTATACAGCGCAACAACCCAGAAGAGAGAAATCTTCATACTCTGATGACGGAGGCAGCATGACCTCTGAAACGTTGGCTAACATCGACCAGACTATACAGCGCAACAACCCAGAAGAGAGAAATCTTCATACTCTGATGACGGAGGCAGCATGACCTCTGAAACGTTGGCTAACATCGACCAGACTATACAGCGCAACAACCCAGAAGAGAGAAATCTTCATACTCTGATGACGGAGGCAGCATGACCTCTGAAACGTTGGCTAACATCGACCAGACTATACAGCGCAACAACCCAGAAGAGAGAAATCTTCATACTCTGATGACGGAGGCAGCATGACCTCTGAAACGTTGGCTAACATCGACCAGACTATACAGCGCAACAACCCAGAAGAGAGAAATCTTCATACTCTGATGACGGAGGCAGCATGACCTCTGAAACGTTGGCTAACATCGACCAGACTATACAGCGCAACAACCCAGAAGACAGAAATCTTCAATGTTCATTATGTTCACATTCCTAACTGACGTTATGGTTTACAAAATTATGACAGTTGGGTAGTGAAAAATTTTTGCACAGCATAAATTTAGCACATGCTTCTGTTATTACCACTTGAGACAACCAGAATCTAAAAGTCCATTTATATTAATGACTTCTTATATAAGATTAATCTCTCACACAGTTCAAAACATAATAAAAAAATATAAAGTTATGCAAAGCAAATCTCAAAGATAATATCAAGAAATATCCAGGAAGACAATATTAAAATGGATCTTTCAGAAGTGGCATGTGAACTGAATTATACTATTTCAGAATATAGTATAATGGAAGGTAGTTACTTCAGCAGTGCTCAATCATGTCCGTCACAAAGTTTGTTAATTAACCTTTATCAAAATGCATCACTGCTTATATACAATCCAGCTGGCTTATCTGGCACACCACTAAACAGTTAAAGCCAGAGTTAAAGTTCGGCCAGGAGGAATTCAGTTCAGGGGTTTAAATCCCCTACTCCCACATAACAAAAATTAATTATGTTGTTTACAAATACTTTCAGATCAACAGCAATACATGTGGACCTCTCACAATTTAAAATTATTGACACAATTTCACACTATTACAGGTATGAATTCAAATATGCTGTCGTACCTTGTAATCCAACCCTTCGGAGCAGCCGAATACAACACAGCGAATGGCCAGAGATTTGGCTAAATCCTTCACGGTCTCTGTTTTGCCAGTTCCTGCTGGACCTACTAGTGCTCCTCCTGAAAGGAAAAGCGGCCATCTTCCAACACGTCTTATCACAACTGTCTATAAACTTGGAGGGAATAAAAGGAGATGCACGACCTAAATTTGATTATTATTATTATTAAGTGTTCTGTCTTACGACAGGTCCATTGCTCTGCCCAAAAAGAGCTCTCCAGTTGTCCCTATTCTCGGCTTCTCGCTTTAATTCCTGGAACGTCATCTTCTTTCCTTGTTTAAGGTCGTCGGTTAGCTGTATCAGTCTTCTTCCCAGCCCTCGCTTTCCTTCAACCTGGCCTTCGATGATATCACTCAGTAATCCATTCCTTCTCATAATATGTCCCAGCCAGTTAGCTTTCCTTCGTGTAATCTTTGCTCGTTGACTCTCCTCAATACTTCTTCGTTGGTCACTCGATCCGTCCACCTCCCAATATTAATTAAGATGGAATTAGAAAATTCAGGTAGGAAAATTTAAAAGGAAAAGAATAAAAGGATCTTTAGAACAGTGTTATGCAACTGGTTTGCTGCCACAATGTATCAGGCGTGCCACGAATTTGTAAGAGAAATTGTATATTCATACATTATAATTTATAAAAAGGCAATATCTTATCTTTCATAATTAGAATTACAGACTTAAACATTTCTTAAGTCATAGTACGGACAGTGAACCTTTCTCAGGTTGTAATCAGTAATAAGACATGAAGCAAGAACAATTTCAAATATCTCACCAGTCACTGAATATGTTAAAGAAAAAAATATAGAATACAGTATATACGAACCTGTTTACAACAAAATTAGTATCATTTTTAATAAACCACCATGATGTTTCAATAAACTTTCCAGACAGGAAGTTGACAAACAAGGACGAATATGTCACTAAGTCCAGAAAATTTTGAGAACTCCTAATATAGTTGACAGTGACAATTATAAGTGCAGATGGCAGTGGTGTTAGGTTTGGATTTAGGACTGTGATGTAAGGCAGTTGTAATACAACGAAGCAACAAAAAATTAATATTAGAGCTAGAAGTAGTTCTACGAAGTGGAGTTTAAGTAGATATCATAGTTTAAGATGAATATGGTAAGAGGTTGAGATGTGAAAACATGCCATACTACGAGGCTGGTCTACAAAGTAAGTTTCCCTGGGGCCGTTTACAGAAACAAAACACAATTTCATGGAAATATTTATTGCAACAGATACAGCAAGTGTCCAGCTATTTTTCAACATATTCGCCACCGGAAGTGAGACATTTGTCATACCGTGGGACCAACTTTTGAATACCTGGGTCGTAGAAGTCTGCCGCCTGGGATTGGAACCACTGTGTGACAGCCATCTCCGCCTCTCTGTCATTCTCAAAACGCTGACGCTGACGCTGACCGGACAGGAATTTCTTGAGGTGTAGGAAAAGATGGAAATCACTGGGAGCGAGGTCCGGGCTGTAGGGTGGATGATTAAACACCTCCCAGCTGAACTCCTGCAGGAGACTTGCTGTCCGTCGAGCCGTGTGCGGCCTAGCGTTATCACTGACCGCACTTCACAGTCGGCGGGAGCTGGAATAAGAAACTCCATCTTCAACGATGCTACTGTGAGAACGCGGGAGGTGCCGTTAGTGCATGCGCCATGCTACGTCATTGCTCTATCACGTACGCACAGTCGCTTCGCGCAATATAAGGTTTGCTAGCTGTGGGACGAGTGGGAAACTTACTTTTGGGACGCGCCTCGTAAATCTAGAGAAGTGTATCATGTATCAGACTTACCTATATCCAACTGAAGAGCACCCATAAGGCACAGACAGCACTTGTCTGTGAGTGGCGTGATGACGAGCCGAGAAGACGCGCCAAGGTACTCATAACCATACGCATGTGCTGCACTAGACATTCGTGCAAGACAGTTGTCAGTATCTTTATCCCAATAGTATCTCAACTGTCTCAACCATTCAAAGCTTGTACTATAATGTGAATGGCAAAAGTTATTTATAAACATTAAATAATATTTTAAAGAGTGCTGATGATAGTGTCTTACAATCAGGATTACTAAATTATTGGACTTTGTCCATCGTCCAGACCCTACTGAGTAGGTGCCCCTATCCTCCTTTTCAACTTGAGGACAGGAGGAGATCCAGCTTCTTAAAACTTATTGGAAATCAAACAATGTACAAATTCCAAAAATTTTGTAATCCATGTGATGAAATAAGGGTGCCCTTCTTCCCCAAAGACCTGTAGTAACATGTAAGATTATATGTAAGGAAAGATGGAACAATTCTTTCTGAGAAGCTAATAGTCGCTAAGTTTAAAAATTCACTAAAAAACAGAAACAAATGTTACAGCAAAAATATTCTTACCTTTGCATTCATTATCATGTTAAAATCTTTTGTTATGACAGAATGCACAGGTATGGACCTGGCTTAATATATACAGTGATTTATCTTCTGGTTTACTAAGAAATCCAAAAAGCTTTGTTAAAACCCAGCATTAAAATGTAATAAAAGAATTTTTTTTACCTTTCAGTAACCTTTCCAATCACCAAATTTGTAATGGTGTCCCGAGCATGGACTTGTGTAGTAATAAGTGAACATAAAATCATTCTCTGCAGTTTCTGGAGATCACCACGAACCATTTCAGCTAGGTCGTTTAACTCCTAAAAATTAAAACTGAGAATGGAGACAAGCATGACACTACATTTGATAAACTTACCCATAAAAACATTCAGAGTTCCAGATTTATACCAAACATGCTTTCTTCTCTTTTTCTAGATGTAATAATTAGTGTTTTAAAGTAACAAGTTGCAATATACTTGAGCCACATTTTCCTCGGACATTTTGATTGAATTGCAAGCAAAATCAAATCTAGATGACCATCCTCTAGAACGTCAAGTCAACTTCTACACAACTGCATAGCACAATATCCCAGAAGACAAGTTATCTTCATACTTGGTGCCACGAGAATTTTAAATCTCATAACCAAACACCTTTTCCTAGTTTCATTCTACTATCAACATTTACAAAACATATATCTGTAATTTATAATATATTAATTTATTATATAACATAATCTATGTAACTTCTAATCTGTAATTGAATCAGTTACACTACAATCTGAATACCGCACAATTTTTACCAGTCAGATAAAGAATATTAAACTAAAGCCATCTTGACCTCAGCACTAAACAGAGATGAGTGGTCAGCATCACAAGAGGAAACTGCTTCTATGAGATACTTCATGGGCGACATCAAAATGGTTAATAATTTCATCTCTTAAGTGGCCATACAGAAGGAACTTATAATAGCAAAAATCATGAGTAGGCTAACAAATCATGTTGACACGTAAATGTTACTTTTTAAAATATTTGTAATGTAAGAGGCTTACTTACGTTAAAACATGTATCTTCAAAATCTTTCATAAGTTTCTCAATATTCTGACTGTCAGATGCAAATATTCTATGCACACTTCGAGCCCACATTATCTGATAAACTGTCAATATGATCTGAAAATAATAAAAGAAGCTGTATAACCTGAAATGCTGCCATTTTCCAGGAAAGAACTGGGTACAGTATTTTCCACTGACTGTTGCCTACCAGGCTGGTTTTGTATGTCTTCATGTTTCATAAACATAATTTCAATCTATCCTGACAAAAGAAGTATTTACAGACAGTCTAACTTGCTTTCTTAAAGCAACAGTGCGTTATTTGCCGAGGCCTGTTTATTAAGAAATTTAAAATATGAAAGTTCTAGTAACTATGACCTATCAGACATTAAGAACAGCAATAGTACTGCAATGTACAGTGATGCAAATGAATCTTAAATAAGATGGGTGTAAGAATTTAGAATGGAGTCACACGTCTCAGAATAAGATTCTATGATGGGCTCATATAAACACTGTAATGAACCTTTTGATTCCATAAGAGGACTATTTCGTGTTAGATTCTCAAGGACCTTCTCCATTGAACCATTTATTATTGTTGGTTTCATTATCTGTATGAAGTCCAGAACTTATAATTCTGGGGAGGGGGAAGCAGCTGGCAATGATTGGTGCTTAAAATGCAGGTAGAAAGGAAAAATGATGCTTTGTAAATTGTAAAGCTGAAAAGAAAGCAGCAGGATAGCTTGTAGAATTAATTAGATTTTAACATAAAAGCAGTATAATTGAATTATAGCATGTATATTGTATATGCATTAATGATTATCAGTCTAAAACATCTACTCTAAAATGTATAGTCATTAAATGGAATAATTAATCATGCATTTTTGGACATGAAATTATTTTAGTTAGAACTTAAAAGACAGTACAAATAATTTATATGATGGGTAATTTTCAATTAAGCTAATTATTATCAACAAGAAAAATCTACTCTGAATTTTATAGTCTGTTAAATTAATTTACTGGATAATAACAAATGTTAATGGCGCATTTAAAAGAAGCTTCTTAGCTGCAAACAATTCTACAGTTTCTAAAAACTTTCACAGGATTGGTCCATTTGTTCTCTCCACGTATTGACATACATACATCTCACCAGTCTTTTGCCGCTAGCAGTAATTACAACATTACTTACTGAAATATTACGTGCTGGACACTTACTGCCACAACGGTTAGGTACAAAATTAAAGAATGAAAACAAGATTTGATGCTTCACAGTAAAGGAAACATGGAGCAGTCCTGTAGGTACTTGCCAATGTGTCAGAGACATAAATTGCCTCTGTCTTTCGAATCTAACCTCAAAATGGAGGTGATAACATTCCTCTGAAATGCTGGTAATCACCTACAAAACTGCTTGGCATAACCCAGCAACCATAATTTATAATAAAGGCAGTGTTTAAATAAAACCTGTGAAATTATGAGCTGGTCTGTTTAATTCGTGATTTTATTACTTCCTGCCTGTGATGATGCAAGAGTGGAAAAAAAATAAAGTGAAAGTCTGTTTGGTTTCGGGTCCATTAAAAATTAGCAAAAATTTGAAAAGCCAGCATTTAACATCATCCTGCCCCTCTGCTAGCACAGATAACAATTACAAAATTATTTTTATATGAATTTAATTTTGATGTCATTAATCCTTATTGTAACGCAGAAGTTTTACTAGAGGCTGGTAGACAAGTGGGGCTGGAAGTAAATTCAGAAAAAACTAAGTACATGTTAGTATCTCGTCATCAGAAGACAGGCGGGCAAAATTATCTTAGGGTAGCTAATAAATCCTTTGAAAGGGTTACAAAGTTCAAATATTTGGGAACAACAATAACAAATCAAAATGATACTTGTGAGGAAGTTAGGAGGAGACTAAATTCCGGAAATGCTTGCTACTTCTCAGTTCAAAATATTTTGTCTTCCCGTCTGATTTCTAAGAACCTGAAAATTAAAGTATACAAAACAATAATCTTGCCTGTTGTTTTGTATGGGTGCGAAACATGGTCTCTCACTCAGAGGGAGGAACACAGGTTGCAGGTGTTTGAGAATCGGGTGTTGGGGAGGATATTTGGGCCTAAGAGGGAAGACGATGGGGCGTGGAGAAAACTGCACAATGACGAGCTTAAAAATCTGTACTGCTCCCCCAGTATTGTGAGGGTGATTAAGTCGAGCAGAGTGAGATGGGCGGGACATGTAGCGTGCATGGATGGGACAAGAGGTGTGCACTGGGTACTGGTTGGGAAACCTGAAGGGAAGAGACCGCTGGGGAGACCTTGACGTAGATGGGAGGATAATCTCAGGCGGGATCTATGGGAGATAGGAGTTGAAGGAAACTGGATTTTGTTGGCCCAGGACAGGGTCCGGTGGAGGGCTTTGGTTAATTCGGTGATGAACCTTCGGGTTCGGTAAGCCATCTAGTTAGTTAGTTAATCCTTATTGTCCATGTGTTGCAACTCTCACATGGTCCAGCTGGTTGTGTATTGTAATACCATTAATCCAGAAGTTAAAGCCCTGCCAGTAGCCCAGCAGCCCATGGGTTCAAATCCCATATTACCATATGATAAAGGTTGATACAGCATCTCCTGCCTTTCAAATGATCTCATACATTGCATAATTTCAGAGTTTAATGTTCAGAATAGATTCTATGAGAAAATACCTGAGATGGATAGGACAGAATCCACTTCTTGCAAGGACTTTGGTCATAATCACTAACTGCTCCCATCATTTGTTTCTTCAATGACAAAAACACTGAATCTTCCACTTTACCAAGCCAGTCTTCAACACTGCCACGTGCCTTTATTACCTACAAAAAATTAATTTAACATCAGATTATCTCAAGGTCATGCCCACAGCAATATTTCTAAAATCGAGGGGAGGGGGGGCAACAGTTTTCAGATCCTCCACAGTCACCTAAATGCAGAGTTCTTTGAAGTTTATACTTTATAGCAGAAGATGCCCATTGCAGTCTCTGTCTTCCAAGATCAAACTTTTGTCCACTGACTGATATTCCTTTTCATCACACATTCATGGACCGAAAAAAGACGCTGAAATTTACACTGCACGTAACGAAAAAAGCAACTGTTACATCTTTAAATCTTCATTGAGATATTCTTCAACCAATGCTTTTTTAAGGTCTGTGGCTAGCTCAACCAGAGGGTCCAATTTCCTCCAATTTTTACCTAAAGACAGAAGCAGAAACCACCTCTCAAAATGCTGTAGTTTTATAATTTTATAATTTAGAAGATGTACAAAGTACAGAAGAAAAATTTTACGTATTATAATGCACCACTAGAGCCACGGTGGTCTAGCGGTTAGAACGCTGGCCTTGTAATCCTGGGGGTCTCGGGTTCGATTCCCGGTGGTGCCCGAATTTATAACTTGTGTTGGGCAAGGCCGTGGTCTAGGCAACACGGAGTTTTCCTCCGTGGCATCCCAACAATTACTCCATTCACACACAGAAGAAGGCAATGGCAAACCACTTCTGGATCATCTGCCAAGAACGTATATGAACAGGTCCCAGTCCGAGAAAAGGATGGAAGGATCCTGTTCATATGGACCTGTCGTCAGACAGAACACTAAATAAATAAATAAAATGCACCACTGTCAGAAACCTTTAAACTTCAGCTAAATATCTGTGTACCTACAAACATGATGGTGTTGATTAGAAATAATTAAAATAATTATTTCATAGTGACCCTCACTAACACTATCTTTATACTAGGTTCCATGAAACTACTCTGATAGATCAAAATTTAATCAGAAAGATGACGTCAAACAGACAGGCATTTCTTACCTCACGGGAAGTAAAACTCGAAATACTTTACTTCTGCTTACCTTTGCAAGTCCGACTCTTTCTCCTTCTGGAGAAATCACAGCAGCTATAATGTCAGATGGAGTGTCTTTTTCAAACTCCAGTTTTGCAATACTGTCAAAACATTTTTGAAGATGACGCTGTACAGCATGGGGATTCCTTATCTAAAAAAAGAAGATCACATAAGAAATGGTTCAAATAAAATATTTCTAATGTTGTACCAATATATACCTAAAAGTAAGAGCCACAAAACAAAATATGTAAGCTTTAATATATTACATGTGAGATAGATAACTACATTAAAAAAACAGTATTGTATTCATATTAGAATTTACATATGCGCTATACCTGTGCCAGAATTTTTAAAAGTTCATCGTTTGATAAGAAGTAGAATCGTGGAAACTGGACTCGCTTGGATTCAAAGTAAGCTTCCAGGCACTTCATTATCTGTTCCAATAGAGCATTATTATTCTGAAACATTTCTAACAAACCTGGAGCAGTGCATGCGTGCATTGCACGTGGAACCTGAAAAAGAAACATATATCACTGATTAACCGTGTGTCGGCTACAGACTTATTCCGGTATCTTTCTGTCATTGTCTGATATCTGTAATTCTCATTTCTTCTCTGACATCTTCAGATCATATACGACCTGTCATTTTGTATCCTGTTACGATTCCGAAGACATGCATTTTTGTCATACCCATTCTCCACATCCAGTAATTTATATTATATATTTTTTATTTATTTGTAGTGTTCTGTCTGACGACAGGTCCATATGAACAGGATCCTTCCATCCTTTTCTCGGAGTGGGACCTGTTCATATACGTTCTTGGCAGATGATCCAGAAGTGGTTTGCCATTGCCTTCTTCTGTGTGTGAATGGAGTAATTGTTGGGATGCCACGGAGGAAAACTCCTTGTTGCCTAGACCACGGCCTTGCCCAACACAAGTTATAAATTCGGGCACTGCCGGGAATCGAACCCGGGACCCCAGGCTTACAAGGCTAGTGTTCTGACCGCTAGACCACCATGGCGGTATATTATATATACAGAATAAATTAATCTAAGAATAAATCATGTTTTTTCTGATAGCAATTCCACACTTGCCAATACTACAGTCTCATCATCACCTTCACTTGTTTTTAGTCATCATCACAATCATCAACATCATTCATATTTCATAGTATTTTGTTTATTCCTAACATCTGACTCTCATACTATGCTTTATTCAGCTGAAAATGTAAAATTAATGGAGAATTATGATAAGAAGCTGTGGGAAAACAGAACAATGTTGAAAGATATGATAAAATTATAATACATACAAACAAGCAACATGATATACGCCAATTCATTATTCTTACCTTGGCGGTTTTCTGCATGATTGCTTTGAAAAACTTGTCAACTGTAAGAAACATTTTTGACTCATTTGGTAGCTGTCTTCGAATGTCTGGAGCGAAGAATATAGGCTCAAGGTACAACCAGCTGCGCTGACAGGCCAACCATTCATCCTCAAAGTAATAAAATTTAAAATAAATAATTGTAAATAACTGTGTAATACGCATAACACTGCTACAACCATAATCTCATCACCTTAACTTATAGAAATCTAAATGCACTTTTTGCAAACAAATCTTGTGACTAGATCTACATTCTGATAGTTGCATTGCATTAGTCAGGTGACGTAAACTAAAATTTCAAACACCTTGCGACTTTTTCCAGAAATATAAACGATGTTTCTAAGTGGCTATGCTTCCATTTGCTCTTTGATTCTGTACCAAAATAATTACTTTACATCAAACATAGCAATTAAAAATATAAGCTGGAGCTGCCATCGCACTAGGTGTGCTATATATGTCAGACAGCGACATGCGATAAAACTACTGGCATGCTACAAAAATCAGATGTCATTGAAAGGTTAATGATTCAGTAACATAAGTTCATAAACAGGACCTAATGAGAAGAAATACTCTCATTGCAACATGGTAGATGATTGAAGATTTCTGTCTTCTGGGTTGTTGCGCTGTGTAGTCTGGTCGATGTTAACCGACGTTTCAGAGGTCATACTGCCTCCGTCATCAGGGTGATATTCATCACCTCTGAAATGTTGGTTAACATCAACCAGACTACACAGCGCAACAACCCAGATGACAGAAATCTTCATACTCTGATGACGGAGGCAGTATGACCTCTGAAACGTCGGTTAACATCGACCAGACTACACAGCGCAACAACCCAGATGACAGAAATCTTCATACTCTGATGACGGAGGCAGTATGACCTCTGAAACGTCGGTTAACATCGACCAGACTACACAGCGCAACAACCCAGAAGACGGAAATCTTCATACTCACCGCTGTGAGAACCTCAAGTCTTACATGGTAGATGATTATAACTAAATCAACTAAAGTAATTCTCTTGTCTTAGCACTATAAAGGTTTTCTTCAGCCTAATAAATAGCATTTAAGTGTAACAGAACTTCAAATATTACAATTTCTATCCACTCACAAGAGTGTTGCTGAAGAGATGAAGCTGGCGAAGCCATTCGTCCACTCGGGGCTTAACGGGACCGACATGTCTGGAACTTGCAACTGTGTTTATGTTGATGAAAGAGTCATCGAGAACCTGCTGGATATCCTCAATTCCACCCAAAATATGTACATATTTATAATTATGATGAGGTATCATGGTAAATTCAAGATATTCCCAACTGTCTTCCACCTAGTACGGAGAAAGACAAATACATTATTATACTTCAAATATATTTAAAAACACTGCAGTTTTGTGTATACATAATCCTCTAATCCACTTAAACGTCAACATTTATTCTATTTGTATCTTATATGCGTCATGTTTGTGTTGATTAAATATATTTATTTTGTACAGTCTATACACAAACGTTTGAAGTTTATTGGTGTTGTAAAAATTATATAATATTAAAACATTTTGTTGTGTAAAATATTATATTAGCGCTCTTAATCGTACAAAATAAATATATTTAATCAAACACAAACATGACGCATATAAGATACAAAAAAAAATATATAATAATGAGGTCAGCCCAGATTTGTATTCCTATTTGGGAGGTGCCAGGTTCAAATCCAGGTCTTGCCAACAACCGAATATTTTGAGCTCTTCATATCAATTTATTGCATATTTATTTATTTATTAATTTTTATTCACGATATTTATCAAGAGATGTTGTGTAGAGTAACGTGCGTCTGACGGCTGGTGAAGAGAACAGATTCCTTCTTGCATTAAATCAACACAAAAGGAAACATGGCAAAACAAAAGGGAGAAGTAGAGGGTGGGGAGGATGAGAATGAAGAAAAATAAGAAAGTAGTAAGTGCGTCACAGCACGGTGCTACAGTGTATTGACACTTTACTCAACTACAAGGGTCAGTTCAAATACAGTATGGCCATCAGGAAAATTAGTAATGCCGTAAGGTATTTAAACACATCACAAAAACAAGTAACCTTTACAATCTGATTCTTAGTTCAAAATAAAGAAAAGTAAAGTGCTTTTTGAAGTTTTGTGAATGCACCAAACAAAATACTTTGTATTATCTGTGCTTTTCCATTGTTCATGCATCATCTAACCTTCGATACCCCAGATAATCAATATTTTACTGTGTTACCTTCTTCAGTAATGTTTCCAGTGCTGCTTCCGAGGTTGCCTGGCTTGAGATTTCCTGCAGTTCTCCACCATATGCAAATGTACCAATCTGTTCCAGAAGGTGTAATGTTATCACTTCATCGGGTTCAAACTCGTAGTTTAGAACTTTCTCTATCTGCATCCAATGCCTTTGTCTTAAAGATGAGTTTCGCAAGTATGTAATTACAGGAAGCTGGAACAAAGTTCAGAGTTCTGACAGTCAAAAATTTATTAAAGCAGGTGATGGTGTGCCTGAAAAGAAAAGTATGAATACTTCAGGTCCATAATGCTCATTGGCTAATGAAGGCCGAGCGCTTCACGTTGTATTATTAATACTGCTTCTTCGGCACAATTTCCAGTCTGACGTTGTAGTTTAAGATATAAAGACAAATTCTGGTTCATCGTATACTTATGTGAACTTGTAACATTTTCTTATACAGAGATTATTATTTCCATATGAGATTTAAAGTTTTCACAGCACTGAATATGTAGATTGTGATCTTCTAATTTGTGACACCATGTAATCATGTAGGACCGCCACGGTGGTCTAGCGGTTAGAACGCTGGCCTTGTAATCCTGGGGTCTCGGGTTCGATTCCCGGCGGTGCCCGAATTTATAACTTGTGTTGGGCAAGGCCGTGGTCTAGGCAACACGGAGTTTTCCTCCGTGGCATCCCAATTACTCCATTCACACACAGAAGAAGGCAATGGCAAACCACTTCTGGATCATCTGCCAAGAACGTATATGAACAGGTCCCAGTCCGAGAAAAGGATGGAAGGATCCTGTTCATATGGACCTGTCCTCAGACAGAACACTAAATAATAATAATAAATAGTAATCATGTAGGAATTCTACACACCTACTCACAAGTACCTCACAAATGGCTTCAACTCAATATGAAAATCTGGGACGGGTCGTATGGGCAAGTGTGTGGTATCTCACAGACTATAATGGTATATTTTAAGGGACTGAGAAAATCCATAAAAACCCTCAACAAGTTCTGACTAAAATTCCAGCCATCATCATTACCATCAAGTCAGATACTAGACGGTGGGGCCTGACAGTTTCATGCAGTTTCTTCAGCTTCCTCCCAACATTCACATCCACTGCACTTTTATACTATAACCTTTTTGATGTTCCGTTGTTTCCATTCTTCTTCCATGTTTCAAATTAGTTTGGTAATTTGTATAAATCTTTTAAAATGTTTTCATTTCATTTATTAACCAACACTGTACAACCTGCTGTTCTCATGAATTTCATACAGGATGATAATAATCTCGTTACATCTGCTTTCCTGATCATTCAAGCTTCATTTCCATATTCCAACACCGAATTTTGTAAACAAAGTCAAATGAGATTTCAAGTACTCACGGCAGCAAGCACGAAAATGACTACACGACACAACATCCCAGAAGACGCCCAATTTCATTGAGAAGATGGCTGTCTTCTACATTGTAACATCACGTAGTCTGGTACAAATTTACCAACATTTCAGAGGTCCTTGCTGCCTCTTTCATCAGGGTGATGAATAACTCAGATAACATGGTGCTACAACCCAGAAGACAGTCATCTTCAGACTCACCACCATAAAAGCTCAAACATTTCAATAAGTCTAATGTTTCTGTACAAAAGAGGGTTTGTGAACTTGATGCATTATTCCAGTCGCTTGTAGAAATTTTTATATATCTGATGTCTTAACCTTTTGATGATACGACGCTGCCTAATAGTTAATGGTATTGTATTTACATGCTCCAGTACTCTTCTTATTAATTTAAATTTTAATCCTAATAGGATGTTTACATAAAAGGGCCATGACTTTTGTTTCTTCTGCTGGAACTGATAGCCCAAATTCTGAGACAACTGTAAATTATTTACTGTGCATAATAACATATCTTTAATTCTGGCCATAAAATTACTTGAAGTCTACAAACAGCAAAGACTCTACTCTAGAGTAAAATTTTTATGGTGTAGTAGACTTGAATAGTTGAAGTAACGCTTACCTTCTCTTTCAATATTTCTACATTTTTTTTCAACGTTGGTACTATAAGATTTGGCGGTAATTCTTTCTCAAACAGATGGACATTTTTCAAATTCGTAGCAGTGATGAGGTTCATATCTTCTGGAACAAGCTGATTAAAGTTCACTGTCGTCCACTCTTCTACCTGCTTTCCCCAATGATCAATGCTTTCCCAGAGGAGCTGACATAATTTTACACCCTTCATAATATCATCAAGTATGTCGAATTCAGTAACTGCAACCTAAAAAGAAACTGACTTCAATAATAAAGCCTTTTATTATGTAAACCCAATTAACTTTCCAATGACATTCCATTTTCAAAAAAAATTACAGATGGATGGATGGAGCGAGCTACAATGAAACTATATTTGATTAGATTTTGCATAAACATTTATTACTCCAAGGAATTCTTGAATACACTAGAGAGAATTTCATACTAATTGTTATCTGCATTCAAATTAGTTCAAAACACAGTTAAGAATATGAAAATTCCTATTATTTTTAGCTTCTGATAACGACTTTCGTTAGCCAAAAGGTGACAAATACTACAAGGTACATTACCAAACAAAAGAAAGTTCACAATATAACTGATCTGCTCTATTTTCTACATTTCAGAGCCCATTTTGTATAAATATTTATTGCTCCAAGGAATTCTTGAATACACTAGAGAGAATTTCATACTAATTGTTATCTGCATTCAAATTAGTTCAAAACACAGTTAAGAATATGAAAATTCCTATTATTTTTAGCTTCTGATAACGACTTTCGTTAGCCAAAAGGTGACAAATACTACAAGGTACATTACCAAACAAAAGAAAGTTCACAATATAACTGATCTGCTCTATTTTCTACATTTCAGAGCCCTACAATTCATCTCACAGGTCTAGATCATTGTTTGTAAAAATTAACTTCTTCGTAATCACAACACATAGATGTCACTGCAACTAGCATGGGAACTTATGAAGCAGAAAAGCCCTCCTACTGTGATGTAGCGTAAACATATAAAATCGCATGTGGCTTATTAAAGTACGGCAGACTGTCACTCACTGGCATCCAAAGTCTGATATATATATATATAATTTCTTTATCATTACCCAAACTTACTCAGTGTAGTAATAACAGAATGGGAACAAATATATATTTCACTGAATTAACTACGATTAATATATTTTTTCGAAAAAACATAAACCTGACAATCGAGGAATTACTTGAGAAAAATTAATACCTTAAATGACTTCTGATAGTTTCCATATTCCACTGCTTTCTTCTGGCATTCAACTAGCTGTTCATGAAGAGCATCCAAAGTAATTTTTACTTCTTCTGTACTTGATTTAATGTCCACTAGCCATGACTGCTGTAATAACATTTCAAATAAATTTATCAATAATATAATGACAGCTACGAGGCGCGTCCGAAAAGTAAGTTTCCCCCTCGTCCCACAGCTAGCAAACCTTATATTGCGCGAAGCGACTGTGCGTACGTGATAGAGCAATGACGTAGCATGGCGCATGCACTAACGGCACCTCCCGCGTTCTCACAGTAGCATCGTTGCAGCTGTTGAAGATGGAGGTTCTTATTCCAGCTCCCGCCGACTGTGAAGTGCGGTCAGTGATAACGCTAGGCCGCACACGGCTCGACGGACAGCAAGTCTCCTGCAGGAGTTCAGCTGGGAGGTGTTTAATCATCCACCCTACAGCCCGGACCTCGCTCCCAGTGATTTCCATCTTTTCCTACACCTCAAGAAATTCCTGTCCGGTCAGCGTCAGCGTTTTGAGAATGACAGAGAGGCGGAGATGGTTGTCACACAGTGGTTCCAATCCCAGGCGGCAGACTTCTACGACACAGGTATTCAAAAGTTGGTCCCACGGTATGACCAATGTCTCAATTCCGGTGGCGAATATGTTGAAAAATAGCTGGACACTTGCTGTATCTGTTGCAATAAATATTTCCATGAAATTGTGTTTTGTTTCTGTAAACGGCCCCAGGGAAACTTACTTTGTGGACGAGCCTCGTATAATATGTGTCCATAAATATACTTGAAACAGACACAAACAAATGTACCGAATCTACAAGAACTTCCAAACCTGATTACCTATTGAGAATACTGAGAAATGTAATCCCCACAGTGTCCTACATAAAATACAAACACAGTACTCATAAAGAACTTTTCATCACATGCTTTTGTACAGTAATTGTAAAAAGAATGTAACGCTTTCAGACATGTTTTATATATACAGTGGATTCCGGTTAATTGGGACACATCGGGACTAGAACACTTTGGCCCAATTAAGTGGCTAATCCAATTATGCGAAGTTACACGTAACGAGTTAAAAATGTTTGTTCTTTAAGATTTGTCCCAAATAAATGGCTGATTAACCGATGGCCCGATTAACCGGGATCAACTGTATTAATATTTCACCTATCAGTTGTAACATGTATAGATATATGCTGATGGATTCACAAGAAGAAGGATGTGTTCAGTACATTTTGTATACTGTCATAAAATATATTACCTACGTTTATATTATAAATAATAAATTGCATACAACTTACACTGGCTTCTTCCTTAATGTCTGCAACCTCAAAAAGGAGAGCCGTGATATCTTTGTTAAGCTGTACATTAAACTTTTCAATTACTTTTGTTTTCTCATTAACTTTCTTATCAACAGCATCTTTCAAAGCTGTTAAAGTTACCTGAAAATGCTAAAAAGAAATACAACACAATTAACCAGGCTATAGAGAAGTGACACTCAAATCAACATAAGTTTTGAAGGAATTTAAAGTAAATCACCTCATAAAAATTTGTAATATTAAGAAATTACAAATTAATAAATGAAAAATAGATAAATATACATTACCAAAAATATTTCTCGTTCTTCTGCAGCACAGGGAACTTTAAATTCATCTATAATATTATAAAGCTCCCTTGTATAGTCCATTTCATTTTCCATATCATCAACCTGAAATAAAACATGACTGTTCAAGGTTCTGCCCTAAAATGTCCTCATTTCATGCACTGAATGTGTGTATAGAGCTTTTAGGGATACCCTGCATATATCTCTCATGCTGATTATTCATCTGTGATAAATAAACATTTAATGTAATGACATAACATATGTTACTGAATTTTCCATAGACTCTATAAAAGATTTATTAATGTTAACATAAAGGCTTCTGTCCTTACCATTTTTGGAGCATTCTCCAGGAAACTGAGATAATTGACGTAGCTGAGTGTTGTTTCCGGATCCATTTCCAGAGACGACTGAGCCTTCTGAGCCTGCACAATTAAAGTCTTAATCTTTTCCTTCCCAATTCTGAAAGTATTTAAAAAAACAGCGTTCCTTTTCTAAGTTACTATGTACACATAATTAAAAAAAACAATTATAATTAGATCAGAAGATGGCTGTCTTCTGGGTTGCTGCGCCATGTAATCCGAAAGTTTTCTGCTGCCTGATGGAGGCAGCAAGGACCTCTGAAACGTCGGTAAACTTCTACCAGACTATATGGCGCAACAACCCAGAAGACAGCCATCTTCAGACTCACCGCTGTGAAAACCTCAAATGCTACTTTCTTATGAGATCGTATTCAAAAAGTTTCCAAATATCCAATCAAATTATCAAGAACTATGGCATTCTCCAGGTTTAAACACAGTATATTTCTTGCCTTTAAGACCTGTGCTAGTTTAATAAGAACAGAAAAAATAATCCACATACCTAAAGTAAGAATCTGAAGAAGAACAGTTTTAATTGGTAATTTGCATGTCAGATAGAAATAACAAAAAAAGTATTGAATACTACTACATAAAATAAAAATTAAAATCATCCTGCAGAATCTTTCATGAGAATCTAACAATTTCTCAGCTAATCATGAAATACCCTGCGTCCTGAAAGACCTGAAGGTTCGTTACCAAAGTTCACAAGAGTAAGTCAATGCTCCCTACCTTCAGGCACATGGATACGATCCATATTCTCCCACAGAACTTCTCTAAGATCCATTTTAGTATTATCCTCCCACCTATGCCTAGATCTCCCATGTGGCCTATTCCCTTAATTCTCTGACCAAAATCCTTTTTCCTTCCACGTGTGTCATCTTACATTCCTCAAATTGATCTGAAAATGCTAACAGCATTTGGTGAAGAGTACAAACTACGGAGCTCCTCATTATAGTTTTCTCCACCCTCCTGTCAGCTCCTTCCCTCCTCATAGGTCCAAATATTCTCCACTTCAACTCAAATCATTAAGAAATAAATAATTACTTATTGGTCGTCAAAAGAAATTATAACATTTTAAATAGTATCAGAATGTTACAAAGAGACTCTTCGGTACTTACCGTGAAAGAGTACGCTCAACAACAGACAAAAGCTCAGTTGGATAGGGAAGAACAGCTTCTTTAAATCTGTTAAACCATAAATGCAGTATACCCAAAGTTTGCTCTTCATCAACTTGTTCAATTGCATTCAATTCATGATGATATCTGGTCAGTAACACCCGGAAAGTGTCGACTTCTGAAATGTAATAAAATAGTTCATATTATCATATAAAACACAGAAGATAAAAAAGATCTCTTTCCAAAGCATGAAAGGTTCTACAGATCTGATATCTTTAGTAACAGAACAAAATTACTCTGTACAGATTCAAAAAAATTAAGAAAACGTTTCAATGGTTATAACGCTGAAGATAGAGGTGATATATTTGTCATAAACGTCGGTAACCACCTACATGCATCACAACCCAGAATACCACCTACTGAAATCAATGACTTCCCTTACACGGATGGTAAATTTATTTAAAAATCAATGTTAATTTTAGACTGGTTTTGTAACAAGATCACTACAAAAACAATTTGGCTTTCCAGGTGATGAACTTTTAAAGGACAGCAACAGCATATAAATAGCAAAGTCATAAATCAGAATATTTTTATCAAATATCTGTTATAAATTGCTTCTGGCAGCTGAAAATCAGATTTGCAAATTTGCCTCCACCCCCACCACCTCTAAAAAAATTAATTAACATACACAAGAGCCATAATTGCACAAAACAACACTAAACTATAAATTATTTTCAGTTGGCTTCATGTTATAAAATAACCAAAAATGTCTTGCTTAAGAAACAAATGTCTGTACCCATTTCATTTTCAATAGAATCGTGACTTTTCTCCTCATTTTCTGTGATGAAATGTCTTACAAACTCAAATTTTTGGATGCAGGCAACTGCAGCCTCAAAATTCACGTTAAGAAACTTAATAACTTTTCTTCTCAGTCTGACCAAGTAGGCATCCTTTCTAAGTATAACGCTAAGATCTGGACCATATCCACACAACCTTTCTTCAGTCCTTCCACCAATCGTTGGTCTGAAATATAACAATCTTGTAAATATCATATTCACAAAGAGAAGAAAAATCAGCATTAAAGCCTGATCATATACAAAATTCAAAACTTTCTTTCCTGTCATAACAGCGGGTCTCTTGAGAATCCAATACAAATAGAATACTATATCAAATATGCATAATAAACAAACTACAGGCAGTTTTTGTGCAATCCACATTTCTGATGTCCTACAGTTCGCTCACTGTTGCCTGTCGGAAACCATGTTATTCCTTGATTACATAGTCAATGTTATCTTATCCCAGAGATCCCATTTACGCAGTACGACTATGCACAAATTAAAACAGACATTTATTATTATACAACATCGTCGAACAAGCTAAGACCCACATAGGGTTATAACGCTACAAGAAGAAGAAGACTATCAGCATAAAACTAAGGACAGTTACACACTAATCAAACAAAATCAGCCAGAAACTATTGTCAATGCAGCCAATGCAACAGTTTAAAAAACTTACAGATTTCTCTTATACCATAATTTTTGATGCTAGATAAAGGTTCTGTACCGTATTTACGAAGCTCGAGTCTTTCCTAGTTTCATGCCACTAATCTTAAAATACAAATCAATCAGTATAACGACAACCAATCATCTGTAGATGGGAGGTTAACCAATTCCTGAAATGTCATGTGTATCAACTATACTTCCAACAGCATCCACTGTCACGTACATTTAGAGAATCATCTTCAGAAATTCGGTGAAGAGGGACACAGTGGACGCCTACAGTATTTATAAATATTGCTGGGAAATGAAAGTAAATTCTATATATACTTAAATACTTGTAAAAAGTTTTGATTATTCCACACAAACATGACCATCAGATGCTACAACATTATTTATTATGGGCCAGATCAGGGTTTCAGAGCACAGTTTGTGAATTTATGAATTAGTGTGTACTTACACTGTAAAGGGACTGAAAAATGGATCTGGCAGGAAAGTTGTTATTCTTGTAATAGTTTCATCCCACTCATTCATTAACGTTTTAAAATTATCAATGAACACTTGTTCAGAGGGATCAAGCCCAAGCTCCTCAGGACTGATGAGGACATCTACGGTAAACATCGGCAACTGAAGAAAAAAAAAGTGAAACCAAATTTTGAGATTTGAGGTTCTCATGACAGTGAAGTGATCATGTTAGTCTTTTGGGTTTGGCTAAAGCTGGAGGAAGTACATTTCTATGAAATGCTGGTGAATACACATGAGACTGCATGATGTTATTACCCACAAGACCAACATCAAAACTAAAATAAAGATTTGATAACCAATTCAACTTCATAAAACATTTAAATTTCTCATTACCTTGATTTTATACTTGTAGAATTTGAATTTCAAACCTACTATCAACTTCTATTAACAATTTGTTTTCATTACCTCACTGACTCTTCAGTAAACAAAAATATAAGCCACCTTAGTCAATTATAGGTTATGTCACTACATGATTCAACCTCTTTGTGTCATTTATTCTTTGGGATTCAATTTCTTCTGTGGTTGCAGCAAATGTTTTATTGGCACAGTGCCTGTCTGTTAGAATTTGAGGACAAAAGAACTTTGTTAAAATATTTCAGCAATACTGTTGGAAAAGCCCAACTATTTTGAAAAATAGTGAACAATGAAAAAATGAGTCATTCAGTATGACCCAGAAACAAAATGCCAAGATTTCCAATGGGAAGTCATGCCCACAAAAGTGTGAATTTAATAATGAAACATTAAACTTATGCTGTTCTGCAATATTGATATCAAGGGAATTTTCCTTTACGGATTTATTCCTCCACAACAACAACATGTTCTACCTACAAGATTTGGAATGTTTATGGCAGTACAATGAAAATAAATAAATCTTTGACCAAACAAGACGAGTTTAGTTAGAATGTTCCTTCTCACAGAGCGCTTTCATTAAAGTGATTTCTGTCCGAAAAATAAATACACTCTACTCATATGACTTGAACCTATGTGACATTTACATGTTCACAAAACTAAAAATATTTTTGAAATACAAATTTTCACTTCACGTCATTAGGAGCAATGTGATTATAGTAACGAAAGATCTACCAAAAATTATTTCCAGTACCTCGCATGGCAAAGTCAACAGAATGCATGTAAAAGTAAAGTAAAGTTTGTCCCACTATACGCCATGTAGGCGTTTGGGGTGAGAGGAGGTATAGCTCCTCCCTTCCTTGACCTCGGCACTAGATGGGGGGTGAGTGGTCAGCATCACGCCCCGGCCGGCTTTACCCCCGGGAAAGAACCCCGGTACCCATTGTAGAGGAGGCTGGGTGGGCCCCAGAGCCGGTCTGGACGCAGAGGCTAGAGGAAAAATCCTCTGCCCCCGTCGGGGATCGAACCCCGGCCGTCCAGCCCGTAGCTAGTCACTATACTGACTGAGCTATCCCGGCTCATAACAGAATGCATGTATAATGACATAATGTAGGTACTCATATGATTACAATCACTAAAGAAATAAAGCAGAGCTCACACTACACATGTAGCTGAAACTGAGAAATTCTGTAATCTTCATTTTCTTTTTAATGTTATGTTTTATAAGAAATGTGCATACAACTTGTTTGAATTTTTTTTTCTGTAGAATATACAAAAACACATGCTTCAAATATCAAATATGGAACAAAAGTGGATTCATACTTTTGCAATAGGACTTTAAATGAGCTTCACGCAGTTGTCAAATAAACGCCTAGAAACCAATACAACAACGTCATTTCATGGTAGTCTTACTTGAGGAGCACTGGCAGGCCTTGGATCTTCTAATTTCTTAGATGTTTCAACAGCATGGAGGCACTTTCCAGAAGATAAGAAATTATAATGTTTGCATAAAGCAGCAACCATATCCTCCAGTGAATTCCTTAACAACATACGAAGTGTATGGAGCATCATATAGTCAACCAAACGTATGAAACTGATGGGAAAAAAACAAAATAAATGCTGTTTACAACTCGGTCAAGAAACTCTTTGCTCATTGTCCACAGACAAGGTAAACTACAAATATTTGGGGGACAAAAGTTGATGTCTCCATACGAAAGTGTCAGAAACTTGCAGCTTGTGGGTCATATGTGGCCCTTGCAACCTTTTTATGGGGTCCATCACCGAGAAAGAGCAACTGTAAGAAGAGTGAACATTTTCTTCTATCGAGTACACTGATATAAATACATATAGGCCTACTGTTCAATTTATTTTTGTGTAAGGAGTCGTGTTTACAGAACAGTGATAAGTGTATACAGCATAACTATATACAACAGGAAATAAAATAAATTCCACTGCCAGATCAATATTTCTAAAACAGGTAGTACAAAGAGACACCACAACATGAACCACGGGAGGAACAGTGGGGATATTGTTTTCCTTGCCTTTCAAACACAGAGTAATCAGGAATGCAATACTTGCATATTAATACCTAATTCTGTGTGTTGATGCATGGATATGTCTGCATGTCACAATATTGCAACCAAACTCAGTTCTGAAGTACTAGAAACAAATCGTGTCTAATTAATGGTTCGGTGGTTGTTTTGATGCCTCTTGTTTTTATTTCTGAGTGTGATGAACTAATCTGCCAATATCACTTCAACGAAAGATCAGCTGCTATTTCCTCCAATTTGTAAACACATGAGCCCAGAACAATGCAGCATCACCATTTAAAAATAAAAACACAAAACTATCTCCCAAGTAAAGTGACAAATCTCATTGTAACAGTAAAGCAAACAGTCAAACACTGGACCCTGAAGGAATGCTCATTTCTCAAAAACACAAAGTAGGCTATATTGAAACATGTAACTGAAAGACAAACTTTCATGAGCAATAAGCTTACCATGTCAATCGAAAACAAAACTTCCTCTTCTTGGCTTGTTCTAAGTAAGGCATTTTTCCCCTTTCCTTAGTCTCTGTGAATCCAGACACCCTGGTTTGTTGTTTAGGAAAATTACTGTCATCTGTTGTGTAACCGACGGCTAACAGTGCTTCATGGCAAGCATTATTTACCACTTCTTTTGCAAATGAATGAAATTCAGCCAGTCTCTCCCTAACTAACTCCAATTTTCTCATCTATAGGGAATGACACATGATCAGAACACATTACTTTAAAATGTAAGATGTTACCTTTCTCCTTAAAACATAATTACGTATGAAGTGTCATATTATGGAAGAAAACATATTATTATTTTTAAACATCTTTATACAAAGATTTCTGTCTTCTGGGTTATTGCGCTGTGTAGTCTGGTCGATGTTAATACAACTTTAAAATTGTCTACTCATGTCTTCACATTCGACTTAAAAAAAGTTTTGGGCCCACAGGTCTTCATTTACCTCCACAAATAACTACACCATTGGTAATAAATTAATAATAATTACCAGCAATATAACAACATCAAATGTCCAATATTGTAAATAGTGAAAATGACCATTCTTTATTTTTTTATTTGTAATGATCGACCCTGAATGTAGGCGAAGTATTTTAACTTTGCATTATGGGACTTTCTGTATTTACTTACAATACAAAAAGGAAAAAAAATTCTATGCATACCTGAGTATGTATAAATTCAAAAAAGGCATTTCCTTCAATTTTACTAACATCTGCGAATGACATGTCCACATGTTCACAACAGGTAGCTTGGATACTAAGAAGTGCCTTCTGTAATATTGGATTCAGTATGAAAAGGTTATGTTCTAAAGCTTCCTGGGAAAAATGGAACTTTCTCCAAATACAAGTTTTCCTCCACACATAAAAACACTTCCATATTCGAAACTGTTTGAATATCTTGATCTGAAACATCAAAACACTTACAGTTGCTTCTTGATGTATCATTCTAAAATGACAATTTAAAAACAAACGTAATAGATAAAAACAATAATCTTGCCTGTTGTTTTGTATGGGTGCGAAACATGGTATCTCACTCAGAGGGAGGAACACAGATTGCAGGTGTTTGAGAATCGGGTGTTGAGGAGGATATTTAGGGCCTAGGAGAGAAGACGATGGGGCGTGGAGAAAACTGCACAATGACGAGCTTAAAAATCTGTACTGCTCCCCCAGTATTGTGAGGGTGATTAAGTCGAGAAGAGTGAGATGGGCGGGACATGTAGCGCGCATGGATGGGACAAGAGGGGTGCACCGGGTACTGGTTGGGAAACCTGAAGGAAAGAGACCGCTGGGGAGACCTAGACGAAGATGGGAGGATAATCTCAGGCGGGATCTATCCGAGATAGGAGTTGAAGGAAACTGGACTTTGTTGGCCCAGGACAGGGTCCGATGGAGGGCTTTGGTTAATTCGGTGATGAACCTTCGGGTTCGGTAAGCCATCTAGTTAGTTAGTTAGTTATGATCCATTAGGCATCAGGACTGGAGCTATGTAAGAACAAGCCTGCAATACCAATAACAAAGGTCAAAAAATTAGCGAGTAAATTCAGATATAGTGGAACTTAATTAATATGGCGTGTAAGAGATAAGTAACGATGTCTTATTAAGACATAATTATAAAAGTGTATTTTTGTTTTAAAATGCAGACTAGGCCCCTGAAAATTAAACAAATGTCTAGTCCAACAGTGAACCTGAAGCTGAATTAGCTTAATGTGATTTACATTACCAATGCCAACTTATTAAGTCATCTTTTCCCACTGCATGGCACTTCCTCTGGAAGCAGGAGAAGGCATCCAGAAATGGAGGGTCGCTGGAAATCAGGTCGGATGCTAACAACTCACCATAAAAGGACTAGCATATTTATACGGGTCTAATTTTTTAACTAGCTGAGCATGCTGTCAGCCTCTCACACAGTTTATAGCATGCAGTCCCACACAACCTGTTAATTCTCGTGGGATGCTCTTCTTTCAAGCGCTTAGAACGAAAACACAGTGCTGCCAATGTGTAAGTTGAGCATTAACAGACTAAGAGCCAGTTGACAGTCTGACCGCATGCAGCCTTTGTAATAACACTGCAACTGTGCTCTCTCCTTCAAAAATGAGGGTCTGGAATGAGGTATGGGATGAAGGAAACAAGAAAGAAAGGATTTAAGAAAGTAAGAAAGGAGGAAATGAAGAAAGGACTCCAGCTCGTGTATTAAATAAAATCTAATGTAATTAAGAGTCTATAATAATAGGACTGTGTACCAAAGAATTTTAAGGCAATGAAAATTGATTTTGTACGTGCTGTGTTATCTTCATCTCATTTTTTATCCTTATAATCATCAACCAGAAATTAGTTCTTGGGCACATGTTTCAGAAGTAACCTTCAACTCTGTGACCGAATGACTTGCATGCCTATATTCATAAATTATTTTAGTTATCTTACTGTGCGGGTGTTGACAGAGGTTGAAGGTGCTGTTGCCATGAAAATGTGGTGTGTCTGCCAGTGACATAAAATACTCCAGGAGGGTCAGGTGAAGACGATCTTTGCCTGTATTTTGCTTCTCTTTTGATTGCAAGAGAACTGTTCACTTTGATTTTGTTCAAGAAGGTCAAGCAGCAAACCAGCGTTATTTGGAAACACTGGCAAAGTTACGCATCGTGACAATGACCCTGGTAATGACGCACTTGCCGTCTACGAGTTTTGGGCCAGAAATTGATGTTGACACTGGACCATCCACCACATTTGGCTATTCCCAAAACTGAACACTCGTTTGAAGGGCCACAAAATTTCAGGGACATGCAATGGCCATCCTGAAAAGCATTCCTAAAGAGGAGTTACAGAAACGTTTCCAGCAGAGGATAAACTGTTTCACAAAGTGTATTGGTATGCGGGGAAAACTGCTTCAAAAGTGACAGCAACCATTATTGAGCAGGTAATTAAGCACAGCTTTTATGGGGCATTTCAGGGATGTAATTGTACACCTCCTGAAACAAACACAAATGTCATATGTTCAATTTTGTTAAAAGGAAATTTATTCTGAACTTCACAGGAAAAAATCTGTACCTCAGAGGATAGCAATTCCATTCTGTTATTCCAATAGACATTTGGGACTATTTTATTCGATCATAAAGTGGTGATTTCAGTGAATGTATTTAGTTAAATGAGCTCACAGAATACCTTCATCAGTTTGCAGTAACAGTCATACTCTTTCTCCCAGACATCCAAAGGTGTGAACACCATATCACCTGGATAGTATTGTGTCACTCCATGACTACTGATCGTCAGAAAATTACTCTTATCAATTTCCTCAAACGGAACAACACTGAAAGACAGAATTTTTTACTGTGTCACTGTAATCAAACGGACTACGGACTACGTCCAATTCTGCCATACAACATGCAAACAAAGAATTCCAGGATTGCATTTTTTGTACTCTTATCCTTCAAATGAAATAATGGGAACTATCACAATTCAATGCTGTAAGCTTCCAACACCTAGGAGTAGAAGTAAGAATTTTAGCATTGCATTCAATTATTTTCATTGCTTTTACAGATAACAAATGGAGTAACAGGCCAACTTGGTATCACAAAATTTCTCATAACCGATGTAGTTTCCAATGCTGATTCATCAGTACCTGTCCGCAATGTTCATGGAGACGACATGCCTTCATTCAAGATGTCTGAACGGTGTGCACTTTCATGTAAGGTCAAAAGTTTATTCATGAAGATGTATCGCACACTGCAGTCACAAGCAAATAATTTCAAAATCAAGGCCTGTATCCCATCCAACAGACCTACGACTGCATTTGAAATTGCCGATTTGAATATTAATGGAGTTTCAGAAACAATCATTTATGAGCATTCTGAGAACAACAATTTGCATCCCATTTGAACGCTGACCAAAAACACTGCTGAAAAGTCATGCAACACCATTATGAAATGACGACTGAGAAAAAGCATCATGTGACAAAACCTGAACACACATCTCCAAAACAAGAGAGAATTATAATGATGGAAGTGAGAGGGAAGCCTGCTGCGTCCTAAAACTACCACATTTCATTATTTAACATCTAGGGACATAATCACAGTGAAAATATTAAAATTTTTGGAAAACCTTTACTTCATGTATATCTACCTGTATAATAAGTATCATAAAAATTCATAATTGTGTGGTTGACGATTAAATTTTATTTGATCGGGTACGGAACGACCGTTATTACTGATTATTACTGACAGTGGTTGCCCTCTGTCACACAACCCATAATTATTTGAAGAATATAAAACGAAAAGTAAATGAGCCGGGATAGCTCAGTCAGTATAGTGACTAGCTACGGGCTGGACGACTGGGGTTCGATCCCCGACGGGGGCAGAGGATTTTTCCTCTAGCCTCTGCGTCCACACCCCCATCTAGTGCCGAGGTCAAGGAAGGGAGGAGCTATACCTCCTCTCACCCCAAACGCCTACATGGCGTAGAGTGGGACAAACTGTACTTTACTTTAAAACGAAAAGTAATAAATTCCAAGTTCAGTACCGAATCATGTAAATTGAAACGTACGCATATATATTTCCCCCCATGCAGAAATCACATTTTTCACCTCAAGTATAAATTTCATATTTTTCATTAACTCATTTAGTAATAAAATAAATATATGCTGGGTGAGTGGGTGGAATGTTACAGTGTCCTGCACACCCTGTAGAAGAGTAATATCCATAAATCCTAGATATCTTTTATGCACAATAAAATGGTTACCTATCATTGAAAATACTGACAGTTGCTACACGCTGATGTAATAAATGGTAACACCACCTGTGTTTAAACAAATATATGGATGTCTGTACTGAGAATTTTTTAATATATTAGTGTTGAATCAATTAACATACGTAAGGCAATACGGCGTGTAGAACTCTGAGGCCCATGACACAGCATAAATCATGTAGAGAAAACCAATTTTATTATCATTCTTTAGGAGTGTAATTAATTCCTTTTGGTCAGCAATATCTGGTGGTAATCTCCTCTTTACTCTTTTTAAAGTATCTTCTTTTCCTTTAGTTTTGTCTTCTGAAATCACAGGAACAGATATTGGCATGGCAACCCTGTAGCTTTTATGGACTGAGAACACAATGAATATATAGACTAATAAATCATGTAATTTCTATTAAGTCTGTCTTCTTTTAGCGTCGACTCCAATTTGTTCATTCTTCTATGCTATCAGATGTTTCAGTACATCAACACTGAACTTAAATAATACTACTTGCTTTTGGTAAAGAAACCGTATAAAATTTAAAAAGAAACAATTTTCCACAAATGCCTTGTGTTTAAAACCAAAGGTAATAAATCTGTGAACCCCAAAACAAAATTATATTATTAATCAACACTACATTTATATCAGAACTTACCAAATTCAACAAAACAAAAAAATCTGTCATTTAGATAAGAAGCAACAAAGTATGAAAAACATTATATCTAAATAGGCATACCTTTCGATCCATAATGCAATTTTCTGCCTTCTAATTCAGGAAACAAATCCTTCCTTCGCCTGTTTTGGTTTTCAGTAAAACCAGCCTACGTACGAACAATAACAATAACAATAATGATGACAATGAAAATGGGTAATGCAAGATGACATCAAAAGATATGTTTCATTTATGCACGATGGTAGCCTGCTGTCTAATTGTATGGAATAACATGAGTCCACGTGCTGTAACAGGGCAGAATTGCAGGGTAACAAAACAGGACTGACTAGTACTTGTGATGGCGCAGACTTGCACATATTGTCATTATACTAGTGATTTTCTCAAAATTAATGAACTTTGTGCAATACTCAGCCTCTTCCACAATAAGACTCGAAGACCCTGTGTCAAAGTCAAGAAGTACTCTCATAAATGTAAGGTAAAATTTTAAAAAAATAATTTTCGCTAATCTACAATTAATTTATGTCTGGTGTGTTAGAAATCAGATAATCTGCAGCAAAATTCCACACCTGTGGCCACATCCAAACCTCCCTTATTAATTTGCAGACAGCAGGATTATAAATGTTGTGTAGTATAATACAACTTCATATTTATTCATTAAATATGTTATTAATTGAAGTCTGCTGTTGCAAACAAATTTAAAAATCGGTCATTAGTGCACATATGACACAGCTTTTGCTTGAGTAATGTTTCAGTATCAGGTTTAACTTCTATTGTGATTCACATGCGACATTGACAAAACATGTTTTCTGAAATCAATTAAAATATTTTTCATCATCCAGAATGGACACAAAATTTTATAACATGCATGCATGCCTCACGAAGAGAGCCTCGGGTATAAGGGGGTGTGCATTTTATGTGTGCCAGGAGCTTTCTTCCAAGACATTTTTCTTTGAGGTGGTCAATACGTCAGATACACCAAAAAATTCATGTCTATATTAATGAAGTGGGCCTTAGCTAATAAAAATTACATATTGTAATACATAACAGTAGTGCTGTGTATAACTTTTACCAAAAGCCATCAAAAGGACTTAAACCATAAATATTATGAGCAACTTAAGCCCTCAAGTAAAGTAACCATTATTATATCATATTAAAGAGAATGAAACTTACAAATAATGTAACTAGTGCTGTATTAAAATGCCATCAAATTCAGATATGTTCCTTTCAGACGTTTTTCTTAGCATTTTCTGTGACAAAACAAGTTTCACAGACAGAAAGGTTTTGAAAATAATCTAATTATAAACTATGGTATTACCATTGTTTCTGGAGTTTTCTTCTTCACTTCAAACTGCTCTAAAATCTTTTTGTGGGGTATGTGAAATGATATTGCATTGTGCAGCCTGGAAGAAATTAAAAAGAAACTAGGTAATTTTATAGCTAAACATTTAACATATAGAATATTTTTTTTTATTGTTGATTTACTGATAAATAGTTAAACGTGAGAAATTATTTTTACAAATATGCTAATATATTTAATTCCAATCTTCTTGTGTATTAACGTCCTCCGTATTAGTGTATTTTATATTCTGCTTGTTTTAATTGTGTTTGTGTTGTGTTCTATTGTGCTGTATCTGTAATTAGCCTTCCGGCTGTTCATGCAGCACACTAATAATAAAGAATTTAATTAAATTGAATAAGTAATGCAAAAGAATCTGTAGTCTTGATGCACTGATCATATAACATGTACAAAGAAATAATGAAATTGAATGCAACAGCAGCAAGCAGTAATCAGAAACCACTAGCTACCATTAGTGAAACAATTTTGTAATAATAATCCAGTTCAACAAAAGATAAATTAATTTAAATGTTATAAAAGTAAACATGAACTGTACTTCAGTTGACACCATTATTTATATACTATATAATTTCCTGCTAAGGTGACATATTCGGCAGCCCATTTGCCTCATGTCTGCTTGTGATTTATTTTTATGGGGCTACTTGAAAAGCAAATTGTTTCAAATATATCCAGCAGACTTAGACAATCAATCAAATAATTTCTGAAGAAATTAATGGTATATCACAGGTTATGTTACAGCACATAATTAAAAGAAATAATATACTGCTGTATGTAGTTAGTATATTAATATAAATTGAAATTCTAAGGAAATTGACACAACAAAAAGATGCTCAGATAAAAGATACTAAATACCTTAATAATTTTATTTGTGTTACCTTATCTTTTATTTCATGTAAATGTAACATATTTGCTTTCAATAAAACACTGTTTGCTCCTTATAATAAAATATGCTTAATGATGTCTCTTTGAGGCTGACAGTAAGAGAATGTACAGTTTCTCTATTTTCTATAGAAGTTTCTGTTTCCCAGCTCTCTCCTTCATCAGCTTCTCCAAATGCCTTACATAATTTCCCCAGTGTTAGTGTTACCTGAAGATTGAGAAAGTGCATTTTTACCACAGCGTCTAAGTTCTACAACAAAATTCCACAAGAATAGTATCAGAAGTAATTTCATTTTAAAGCAAGTCTTTGTGTGGCAGTCACTGAATAGAGTATACATGCTCCAATGATTCCTGCCTCATCTTTTTCATGGATTCCATTCCAAACCAATTTCGACCATGTTACTGTTATAATTTATTTTAGCCTGCGACAAAATCAGTTCGATGGGATTAAAATAAAAATGTTATGGTGGCAACTGTTAAGCCTGGTGCGCATGTTCTTGAATCAATTAATCAATTTTAAACCTGTTAACCTTGAACAAGGGCACCGGAAACAACCTTAATCGATGGTGACGCCATCACGCATCAGCAAAGGGTCATAAGTACAAAGCCGTCTCGGTATGTCAGCTCGACATTTTGAGCATGTGTCACGTTTGGTACCAACTGTCGGTAATTCAAAAGTACAACAGTGGACTAAGCTGTAATGGCGTGAAATCCGAACTAAATTACGTGAAAATCTGCTCACCCAACTTTTTTTGAATGACCTCCTTCCTTAGACAGGCATAACACATCTGACGGCTATCTGTATTATATCAGCCACGGTGTCTCAGCGGCAACACATTATACTCATATTCGTAAGATAATCAAAACAAAATCGAATTTCAATCACAAAACAGATTCTTTTAATTATGTCGTGGTTTTTCTCACCTTCGTACAATAAGTTTAAACAGAAAATAACCCTTTCATCAAATCACCACACATTAATATCCTTAAACGCACCCAATGTCGCGTAACCCCTGACACTGGGGGCGTTAAGTAGCCAAACAATCATCGCTTTTTCTCTGGGTAAAGAAATAGGGTTTGGGGAAGAAATTAACTAAGAGGTAAGATTGGGAATACTGCGAATTATATGGACTTTTACATTAGCACGTTGGCAAAGCTGTTTGTACATATTTCTAGGTTGGATTGCTACACTATAAATATTCTAATGAAACTGTTTTCACTTGAAGTAATAACTTTCCTGGCTTTTTCTCTAGTCACATCCCCCTCCCATGTCTTCCATCGATTCAAAATTTCCGTAAATTTTACATTTTACTTGAAAAAATTTGTTATTTTTCTACTTCCCACAGGTCATTAGCGGGGACGTAAAATTCTCTGGCGCAGAAGAGAATAAAATTGAAGACAATATTGCTTTACGAAAGTAATGCTGCGTAAAATCATCGGCCCACGTGTACATCTAAGATCCATTAATTTAACTCCCAACAAAATAAATCTTACATGTTAAGAAAGGAAATTTTGTCTTCTGGCGATGGAGTAGTCCAACACGTAATGAGAAACATAAAATTCCCTGGTCTAGAAACTGATCATTCCCTAAACTGGAAAGGTCGTGTAGATCTCCTAAGCATATTTTTGTACTATGTACCCCAATAATTTGCTCCCTTCAGACTTTATTAATATCTCACCAAGTAGACCCTAACCATGACTTAAAACAAATAGGGAAACTCTGTAAGAGCTGTTGTTCAATAACATATGTGCACGTGTTAAATTGACCATAAAAAATAAGGAAGAATGCATGGTAGATGATTACTAATGATCTCCCAAAGACTCCAGTTTCTCCTAGTGCAAAAAAACAAACAAAGAAATATAATGAGTTCTTCTCAGGCTACCAGACATGTAAGGTAGTTTAATGAAGAAAAGAAAAGGTGTTTTCTTGATTAAACCACCTTACACGGCCGGTAGCCCAAGAAAAATTCATTATACCTAGTCGCCATGAAAGCTTCACATCATATATTCAAAATATCTGTCAACCAAAATAATGTAGAATAAGCCTTTTATTCTGAACATGAATTACATATATGAAAAAACACAAATTATTTCATTTACATTCACACTTCAGAAATCCTATAAGCTATCAATAAATGTATGCCCATTCCAAAATCTGGAGGAATGTTAATAAAATATTATGCAGTAATATGGTTAAATAAGAATATAATATCTATAATATGATAAACTTATACTTTACCCAAACCATCTGCATTCACAAATTTTATTACCCTTCTACATGCATTACAATATACAATATTACTGGCATTGTTCTGGATTTTTATAGTACCTGCAATATTACAAGGGAGAAATTGATAAAGGCAGAACAAAATATTGACATCCAAGTATCACGCTGTTACATTTCCACTATGAATTAAGATGAAGCATATTATAATCATTGCTGCATCCACTTAACTCATTCCCACAATGTTTTTACACACCTTCATTAAACTGTATTTCAAACAATTCATGCAAATGAATTTTTAACCGATATCTTAAAATCGTCTGCATTAGAAAGCGAATTTAGGTTATGGATTATTAAGAAACACAGATCTCGGTGTATTAGTATGTTGAAAATTATAAATATAATTTGATAGGTGGTAATGAATGAGGCTGGTTGTTTGATGAAATCACTGTCCATGAAATTCACAGATGAAGATTTTTTTATATATAGATGCACGGTTACTCCAAAGGGTGCAATAGTACGACAGTTAACATTTCAAAATATATTTTCTACAGAGAATTTACTGCAGGCATGATATTAGAAGAAAATTTCACAAAGGGATTAAAACAAAAATAATTTTTAGTAACAAACAAGAAATTAGATCTTATATCTTAATTGCATCATGCTTGTGTTTCAATACAATACTTTTATTTTCCGTCGTTTACACAAGCTTATTGTTAAAATCATATAAAATGTAACAATTTTATGTGAAATTTTATATGATTTTAACAATAAGCTTGTGTAAACGACGGAAAATAAAAGTATTGTGAAGAAATTAGATGTATAAGGATACTATAAACTGAGTTCAACTAAAGGAAAGGTTTATACAAGCTTATTTTAACAGAAAACATAACTTTAGTGCAGAGAAAGATGTCCTGTTATTCCACTAAAAGTCAGAAGGAAGAGATCAATGGTTACAATTATGTACTGTGCAGTGTCATTTAAATGAAATGTGTGGTTACACAAGTAAATATTCAAATCACTTTTAAAAAAAATTATCTCAGTAAGGTACTGACAAAATCAGATCCCAGCCTGAAAATGAACAAACATAACTGTAACACTTGGACACCAACATTAAAAGCACTGTTTCAGAGCTGTAAAGTCAACTTTATACACTGTACATAAGCAGTATACAGTAATCTAATGCCAGTGTTTCCTGGACATTACATCTTATATCCAAGAAATGATCGCATAACACAATTAAAATAAGATGAGTGACTATTTGAGAGATCCTCTACATCACATATAAACATGCCTTAAATAATGAATAAAAGCATGTACAAATAATTAGTCAACACACTTATTTATTAAGAACACAAATTGTAGCACTACACGTTTCAGCCTAGACGTCCATCTTCAGGTGCTGTTTTTTGGTGTAACGGAAACTTACTCGTGCGGGATATGTATATAACCTACACTGCGGACCCAGGATATTAGCTTTATATCCTAAAAATATCTTACATTAAGCTAAAATTATTCATAGATAAAAAATGAGAATAGTTAATTTTAAAAGTTACAAATGCCTCTCATTGGCTTCTTGCTGTTGGCAAACACTTAAAATAAATTAATTGAATTATTATTAGGGTATGGTTGGAATTTATTCTCATTCATCTGTGTACAATTTTGAACGTCCTGGACCCACGGTGTAGACTACCAACAAACATACCACGCATCAATAAGTTTCTGTTATACCCAAAAGTAGTACTGAAGATGGCAATATAGGCAAAAAGATGTGGTGCCACAATTAAAGTTTTTAATAATGAGGCATTTTGACAGTAATTATTCGTACACTTACTTGTTCACAATTTAACACACACAACGATGCAAACCTGAAAATTAAAATCTGTCCTAAATATTCATTGAATATGGATTATGCCATGGTATGTATGTGTTGAATTAGCCGCATTTCACTGTGCAACCCCAAATGTGTTATTGTTATATCTACAGCAGATCCAAAAGGTACTTGCAATCACCATTTATAACTTCAACCTATTAGCTGTGGCACTGCCGACAACTATCCTGATGGAAAACTGGAAGTTTCTGGTTGAGAATGTTAATGTTATTCCCCAAGAAATGTTCCTCTGAAAAACAGACTCAATATCGTCTGAATAATGAATCATATGATTCTCAATATGGCTTCAAACATAAAACTGGAAGGCAGGCGCATACCGTGCATCAGGAATCAGGCGCAGCACTGTAACACTAACTCATAATGCATATGGGGGATAAAACTGAACGAACATTCATGGTAAAATTTTTCTTTATATTCTTCAATATTGTAAAGTGCCACAGGAGAGAACAAGAGCGGAAAGATATTCTTCCGATTGGAGTACAGTGTTAAAAGAATAAATTTAAAAAAGTAAAAAAAAATACAGGACAATTTTACCAATTATTGAACAGAGGAAAAGAAAGTCTTGTTTCTTTGTTTAAGGCACTTCCACCACCTGATTACAGAGTGAGATGATAGCCAGTGTGCATTTGCAGTCAGCTGTTAAGTATTATTTGCGTCGGAGTCAAACTATATTATGGCAAAATGTGTTTGTAAATTTCATCATCAGTACCTGATTCTCCTTCACCTACCAAACTTGTGTTTTAAATTTTAACCTGGGACCACTACTGAGGAAGAGCTGCCAACTACAGCTCTTGCCGACACCAGAATCTCATCAAGATATCCAAACAAGACTAAAATTGAGTCCAGGAAAGTCACTTCATCAGTTGTCCCAAGAAACCAGGGCCTCAGAGCCACAAAATTCCTATAAATTTGTTTGTACAAAATATTGCTGGTGAATTATCTTCAATTTACAGATCCAGTTTAAAGTCTGAACTTTTGTAATTACTTTCTTGAAGAAATATTCATAATGGTACAGCTAACCCTAAGCATCACTGTACGAAGGATGAAGCCTGTTTTCGTAACTCACAGAACGTATGATGTTCACTTACCAATGACACAAATCTAGCTTCCCATTCATATGGCAAAAGTCAGATGAATTAGCTACTTATAAACTGCAGAGCTCATAAATTTAACTATCAATACAAATTTCAATTCAGAGCTTGACAGTGGCAAATGTGTATTACACTGACAAAAAGCTCTTCACACTACGATCTGAATTTATTGTTTGTTGTAATAATGCATACTTCACTAGCATTGATAGAATTTAAACTTACTTATCTCTAAATTCTGAAATTTCTGAAGTGATGTTTACCTGCGTGCAAAGTGTTCTTTCATAAATACTGCCACTGCACACGTGGTATACAATGGGACTCTATATGGCAGAAATGTTTTCCCCTTGCAAAGTGAAGAAAAGTTTTTAACACAGGAATGACTTCTTTGCATAGAACAGACATCAGGATATAAATATATTTGTGTACATTACAATGTAATATAATAACACCACATATAAAATTCCAAGGATCTACAACACAACAGATAATTCCTTAAAGCCAATGTGAAAAACCTAAACTCTTGAACAATTGCAGGAAAATAAAAGCCAATGCTAAGAACCTAAACAGTGAACTATATAACATGCAGTCAGAATTCATATAGTACTAAATATTCAAGATATTAGTAACTAAGATACCATATGCATATATTCAGAAATGGCAGAGTTACAGACTGCATCATTGTCAAATAATGAAATGCAAATTTTAATTATAAGCTTACACCCACTATTAAATATTATTTTGTCTGCAAAAATCCCTACCATTTCACCATTTGATCATACGACAAATATATCATAAGATGAAAGCTCTTCAATCCATTTTTTTTTTATTACAAACATATTTTTGGATGCTCATTTAACACTTTCAAGCTACCTAAATTTCATACTACAAGAAATCAAATTCTGAGAACAAAATTTTTCAGATTTAGAATCACAGTGTCTTAGAAAAATGATTTTTCAGTTTTGTGTGCAAAAAAGCTACATTTTTGTTTTTCAAAAATTGTATCCTCATGCAAGAATTAAATGAGAATGAAACATTTTTGTTATTAATGTCCAAAATCATAAACTAGACTCTGAATTTATTTTGAAATATAACTTCTTGTTTTGTATACATTTTCAAAGTAAAACTCAATAAAATGGAATAATTTCTCATATAATGCAACCGTTTGCATTTACTGCACTAAGACTTTTCCGTTAATCTGTTCATGTAGTCCGTTGAAGATGTACTGTTGCAATCACAGAAACTGGCTGTCTTTGAAGGACCAGCGATGAAATTACAACAGAAACAGTATAGTACAATCTCTGTTTATGTAAAGTGATTTTGATACTATTAAGTTTCCCATCTGAAATAGATTAGCAACCTAAAAGGTGTAAAATGTCATAAATAGGACTTCCACAGCTAATATTCTTAAAGGGTACACTGATGGTAACTTCTGACTATAAACTATCACAATCACAGGAAAAATTAACAGAAAGTCTAGGTTCAAATATATATTTATTATTCAAGTCTATACACAAACTTTTAAATTGTTGATGTTAAAATTTAAAATCACCATTAATATTCTGCGCCATTCATCGTTATCTCGATGTTACAATATTGCGCCTTATACTACTACATGTTTCAATGTCATAGCATCATCTTCAAGTTTTTAATCTTTAAAACTATTCTATATTTATTAATGCACGCTTTTCATTGATTGTAGATTGTAGATTACTGTTGTGGGTGTTCCTTTGATCTTCTTATTATTTTGCATATTATGTTGCGTATTATGTTATTTGTTCATTATTCTGTGAAATTATCAACAATATAATTAACATTTGAGTTATTAATATTATTTATATGAAAATGAGTTTGGATATTGTCATAAAAATTCATTGTAAAAGTATAAACACAATAACATACCAAGAGTTTGATGTGCAGTGTGTCCCCGTCTGAGATAACGATGAATGGCGCAGAATATTAATGGTGATTTTAAATTTTAACATCAACAATTTAAAAGTTTGTGTATAGACTTGAATAATAAATATATATTTGAATTTTGAACACAAACATGACGCATCTAAACTATAGAAAGTCTAGGAATACAAATAGGATTCATAATTATACTGATTATAGAAACTTTAAAGGTTTGCCATGTATTTCCAAAAAAAATAAAGGCTGCAATAAGTATATGAAGAACTCTACTATACAGAAACAGAAAATAAACCTGAAATGACACGGCATCAGCCAGTTATTTCGATATAAATCATGACAACTAAGGAATTACATAACTAAACATATTTCAGCCAAAACACTCTCATCCAGACTACTACATTATATCAAAACTAAGTCTAATGCCCAAAATTAAAATTATCAGTAACTAATATATAAACACGCTGTAGTTAGCAGATTAGTGGTGTGCTTTGACAACATGGCTATTCATGACTAATATAGATGTACAGAAGCAAAGCGTCAACACTTAGTGCATCTGATTATCATCAGCAAAGTGGGATTTGTTACTCAGGAGTTCAGCAACGACTTGTTCCATGTCATTGTCATAGCGTTGGAGTAGCAATACATTCAAATTTTTGTTAGTGAAACCCATTTCTAAAAGAATTTTTAAGTTATTTGTTGTTGACATGTCAGATTGTGATGACAAATTGGCTCCTCTGTCATTCCAGTGCCACTCTGCAAAATCCTGTAAAAAAGAATTTAACTTTTACAATAACATGACTTTCATTAATAATGATATGCTATAACAAAATTTCATTCATCTTTCTTCTCATACCACTTTCACATATGTGACGGATCCTTTCATATTGAAATTTTGAAAGATCACGAAGGGGGGGACAATATGTCAAAACACAGTTAATTCCTGTAACTCTTAAGAAACATGTGGCACAAAAAGAGTAAATATAAGATTTAAATTTGGTTTTTAGAGCCAAACAAAATGAAATGCCTGTTTTATATAATATTTGGCGAGTTTTTAAACAATCATCACATCAGCCATACAGTAAAAGCTCACATACACAATTTGTCACTGCAAAGAAGTTCGTCTATCTAATACCAATTCGCTGCCCGCTGGTTGGTGTAGCACACGCTACAGAACGTGAGTCTAATTCACTTTACAAAAGTGGTGCGGTGATCAGCGATACATGACACATTCTTGAGATCATTTATTCATTCATTCAATCATTTTATTAGCTACTTGCTGCATATGACTCATCAAACTTTCTATTTAATTTGATTCCATTTTGTAATATACTGTTTGTGCATAAAAATAAGATCAGGTAGCTCTGGCACTTCCACTGCTGATACTGAATGAATAAAATATATCAGTCTTACTTCTGAGGCTAGTGGTCTCAAATTCATGTGTAAAATTCTGAACACAATATAAATAGAACAGAACAAAAGAAAAATAGAACATCTATAATACTGATCTGTTTTATTTATTATTTATTTAGTGTTCTGTCTGACGACAGGTCCATATGAACAGGATCCTTCCATCCTTTTCTCGAACTGGGACCTGTTCATATACGTTCTTGGCAGATGATCCAGAAGTGGTTTGCCATTGCCTTCTTCTGTGTGTGAATGGAGTAATTGTTGGGATGCCACGGAGGAAAACTCCGTGTTGCCTAGACCAAGGCCTTGCCCAACACAAGTTATAAATCCGGGCACCGCCGGGAATCGAACCCGAAACCCCAGGATTACAAGGCCAGCGTTACGCCAGGGAAGCTTAGGTCCTTCGTAAGTGACATCTTTTGATTTGTGACCTTAATGTTCTGACCTTCGAAACCGCACGTTATAGCTGTCGGA